GGTGTTGGGAGTGCCATCTCAGATAGGGACGCGCACGAAGAAGAAAATAATACAAAAGTACAGTCCACTTAAACATTCAAGGACACATACCATTCTCGCAAATGTATAAAATAATTCAGACAAACTTAAGGTTTCAAGAAGGCAAAGACCTAAAAGAACGTTAATATTTATACATGTATGTATACCAATTATGAGGTAAGTTTTTTAAATGTTTTGGTCTCCCAAAAGGAAGATTTTTTTTTCCTCAAGAACTGATGAATGTTTTAACGATTTATAAATTATAGTTTTATACAACATGTTTTAATTGTGAATTGATGTTTGTAGTTTGTGTAAATTTTTAATCTGAGGATGGCGCTGTTGTCTCGCCGAAACGTCATGAAATAAACGATATTCAAAAATTTTTACTTCACACTTTGACTGAGACGCAGGAAAGCTAAGAATATAATAATAAGCGTTAAGTAGAATTTTCTAGATTAATTTTAAACTTTCGTGTTGTAGACTGACTATCTTTAAGCTGAATTCTTATGCCTGCTGGCCAAAAATCTAATGACTGAATCCTCGTTTCTGCTGTTGCTACTTTTATAGTTAAATCATGCTGATCCTAGCAGAAGCGATACTACGTCTTATTTTATAAGAATAGAAACATGTGCATGGTCAAAGTTTCCCCAGTCCTTTTGCGCGCAAAGTCATAAATGGCCGGTTTTTTTCAGAACGACACGCCGTCGCTATCGCTGATCGAGCTATTGAAAATGTGCCTGGACGTGACGAAAGGCTGCAGATACTTGGAAGAGATGCACTTTGTGCATCGGGACCTGGCGTGCAGGAACTGCCTGGTGTCGTCGATGGCCAGCGAGAATCGCATCGTGAAAATCGGCGACTTCGGACTGGCTCGCGACATCTACAAGAACGACTACTATCGGAAGGAGGGCGAAGGCCTGCTTCCGGTACGCTGGATGGCCCCCGAGTCGCTTCTGGACGGCGTGTTCACCTGCCAGTCGGACGTGTGGGCCTACGGAGTGCTGCTGTGGGAAATCATGACGCTGGGGCAGCAGCCCTATCAGGCGCGCAGCAACTTGGAGGTGCTCCATTACATCAGAGGCGGCGGACGACTGGGCAAGCCCAAAGACTGTCCGGAGGATCTGTGTGTAGTTTTGCCCAAAACCCAGTCTTTTTAGTGCAGTTCCCCTGTTGCAGATACTGGCTGATGTTGCAGTGCTGGCTGTGGGAGGTGGAGCAACGGCCCACCTTCAAGCGCTGCCTAGAGGTGCTGGATCAGGTCCATCGGGACCACTTGAGGCGGCACGTGACTGGCGCCCACTCGCACTACGTGAGCACCGTGATCGATCGTAAGTAGTCGCGCTAACCGGGTGGGATAGTAGCTCCTAAACGTGGGCTTTAAGTGTCTGTTGTGATTTAAACCATGTCCTGCATGGGCCTGAGCATGTCTACTAACCAAATCAATGTCGTATGCTTGCAGTGTTGGGCGGGATCTCAAACGCCGCTTATTTTCTCGACGAAAACAAGAACAGTTCAGGTAATTGAATTGGCATGCCGATGAACGCGCTGAGTGGCAAAGCGAGTTGAGTACAGCCGTTGATGTTTCGTAGGCATGTCCTGGACGAGTGGCGAGGAAAACTCCAGCAGGGAGCGGGCGCCGTTCCTGCCGCCTGCGAGTGAGGCGCCTGCGGATATTCCCAAGTACCTGGAGCTGGTCTACGAACCCGAAGAGGACCAAGCGCTGGAGAACGACGGCTACGAAATACCCAACAATTTTAAAAGTGACTTGGCCGCTGTGAGCGGCTCTCCCATAAGTGAGGAGGAGCAGCCGGAAAGTGCAGCGTTGTAGCGGAAAATCAAGCTCAGTTCCGGTCTTGTTTGTACATAGTGGTAGTGAGGTTAGGTCTGGGTAACACTGTGTTGAGTGGCGCTTTTGAGTTGTTGCCGCTCTCTGAGTTAATGAGTTATAACTCATGGCCGGTGGCGGAATTTTAGCATCTAACAAAAAACAGCCATCAACATATTGCTTTTGCGCATACGATTGCTTGAAACTTGGTCCAAAACGGGAAAATCCGGAGTTTTGAAGAAACTTCAAATTTTCAGAGCGATGAGGATGACGCGTTTTCCAAATATATAGTTTCTTGATTATAGGCTTTTGCTTTCTCTGGTCGTTTTTTTGAGAAAACCTAAATTGTGTCGAAAAAACAAGATAATTTTGTTTCGATTTTGTCCCAAATTCAAGGGTAAAACGGGTATTCGAATAAGACTATGAAGACCAAACTGAAAAGACAACGACTTTTCTTGTCAAATCTACCTTTTAACTTTTTTGCATAAAAGATTCTCAGTTTGCCAGTATTTTACAGTAAAATGTTAGGAAAAAACGCGTTGTTCTGTTTAGATAGAGTTTTCTTTAGAAATATTCACCAAAAAGTGAAGAAACCGGAATTTAAATAAACCAAATTATTCACAGCTACAAAAGTGACTTATTGCTTTTGTGCATACGATTGCTTGAAACTATTTGATCCAAAAAGGGAAAATCCGGAGTTTGAAGAAATTTTTAAAAATTTCAGAGCGATGAGGATGACGCGTTTTCCAAATATATAGTTTCTTGATTATAGGCTTTTGCTTTCTCTGGTCGTTTTTTGAGAAAACCTAAATGTTGTCGAAAAAAAGCAAGATAACTTTGTTTCGATTTTGTCCAAAATTCATGGATAAAACGGGTATTCGAAAAAGACCATAAAGAAGACCAACTGTAAAGACGACGACTTTTCTTGTAAAATCCATCTTTTAACTTTTTTTCCATAAAAGACTCTCAGCTTGCCAGTGTTTTACAGTAAAACGTTAGGAAAAAACGCGTTGTTCTGTATAGAGAGGGTTTTGTTTAGAAATATTGACCTAAAAGTGAAGAAACCGGAATTTAAATAAACCAAATGATTTACAGCGACAAAAGTGACGAGTTTTCCAAATAATTGATTATAAACTTTCAGTTGTTCTGTCCGGGGAAATATTTTTGGGAAAAAATCCAGGAAAAGTTATTAAGGTTTTGTTCAAAATTCGAAGCTGCAATGTGCACCGAGTGTTAATTAAATTTAATTTATAATTTTCACAGAAATTACCGGAAGACAGTCGGTATTTTACGTAAAATTAAAAATAATACGTTTTTTTGCATAGAAATAATTGTTCAATAGAAACTTTGCTAAAACTGGAATGACCTGAAATTTTAAAGAAACTTGAAAAATCTTCAGACCGATGAATGAGGCGAATTTTCTAGCAAAATTAATTTTGTCATTTTCGGCTGAAAAGACCCCATTATTGTCAGCAAAGAAGAAAATCATCAGAAAATAATGTTTTTTTTTGCGTTTTTGATTAAAAACTTTTAGTATTGTGATCGGTTTTTGAGAAAATCTTAATGATTTTCGGGAAAAAACGAGAGAAATGTATTTTCGTTTTTTCCCGAATCCGACACTGAAAAAAGTTTTTGTAAAATTCCTACAAATCTATAAATATGTATTGTAATTTTTCGCGTAAAATACATCCAGATCGTTAGTATTTTTAAGTAAAACTCTACAAAACTGAGCGTTTTTGAGTAGAAAGTAAAGCAAATAAAATCTGTCGAAACTGAAAAGCCACATTTTTTTAACAAGCTCTACAGTCTTCAGAGGAATAGAGGTGACAAGTTTCCAAATAGTTTATTGTAAACTTTCGCTGTTCGTTTTTTGATAGAAAATTATTTAATTCTTGTCTCAAATTAGAAGCTGGAAAGAGTTTTCGAAACTTTTTACAATGGGACGAAGGAGGCATTCTAGTATGTTTTATTTAATTCGCGGAAAATACCTGAAAATTGTCAGTATTTTTAAAGAAAACTAGAAAATAATGCGTCTTTGGTCATTCGGAGAAAAATGAGATAAATTTATTTTCGTTTTTGTTCCGAATTTGACTCCGAAAAAGTTTTGTAAAATTCTTACAAAGCTATAGATATACCTTGTAATTTTTCGCGTAAAATACATTCAGACCGTCAATATTTTTAAGTAAAACTCTACAAAATAGAGCGTGTTTGAGTAGAAAGCAACGCAACAAAAAATCAGTCAAAACTGAAAAACCTATTTTTTTAACGAACTCTACAGTTTTCAGAGGAATAGAAGTGACGAGTTTTCCAAATAACTTATTATAAACTTACGCTTATTCAGTTCGTTTTTTGATAGAAAATTATTTGATTTTGTCTCAAATTCGAAGCTGGAAAGGGATTTCAAAATTTTTACAAAGCGGCGAAGGAGGCGAGTGTTATAGTCTAATTTATGTATTTCATAATTTTTTGCGAAAAATACCTTACTACTATCCGAATTTTATAGTGAATCTTATAAACTGAATATTTAAATAAATCTAAAAACAACTAATAAAGTCATCAAAGTTACTGAGCCGGTGCGTTGGGTTGGCGCACCAAACCATTTGCGTGGCACTGCGCCAACTCCTAAAAATTCATTGAGTTACCCAGGCCTAAGTGAGGTGGTTTAGATTAAGAATCCAGGAACCGTATTATTATTTTTCTAAGTGGATTTTCGAGAGAACTACTACCACAGGAAGTTAATCCTGTATTTATTAAGCCAAGTGCCTTGTGCGTGTGTATATAGAGTGTACATAACTACTTTCGAGTGTGAAGTGTTTACAATCTAGATAGGTAGTGAGTTTAGGTTTTTCAATTGTTATTTATTTTTTAAGACTTGTAAATTGGAAAAAATACAAAACCGACATTGTATCGTGTACCTACTTAGTTCTATATGGTTGAGGCGGATTCATGTTTCCCAAACCTGCTTGTTGGGCATTTTGCCCTTTTAGCCGGCTTTTGCACAACATATCAAGCTACACGAGCTCAAACTTTCATAAAAATGGCGCAAAAGTCTGTCGTGTGAAAATCAAGTTCCGTCGCTCTTCATAGTGGAGTCAAAATGCACTGTTAAGGTTTGCTATTGCTTTACTTTGATTGATTTTAGTAAAACATATTTTTCGTCAACTATTATTAGTGTTTTCCTGCTGACACTTTCAATTTTTATCAAAAGAGACTTTCGAGGTCATTCCTTGAAACCAGTGGGTTTTTCGGGTTCTTAGGCTGTCGACTTAAAAACGACTAAAGACTAGACGACGGCCTAAAAACCCGAAAACCCACTAGTTTCACTTTCAATTTTTGTTGCGTTGAAAGCTAATGCAATCCCAGAATCCAGACTAAAGTGCCTAAAGCCAAATGAATCGTATTTATAACTTTATGATGGTCTAGCGGATAGCGCCTTGTCATGCCTTAACAGTGTTGAAAAAAGCTTCCAGCAACAATTAAATATTTACTTGCAATACCTATGTACAAACATGTTCGTATTAAAAGTACATGTATCAAAGTGCTTCGTATTCCGTCTTTGGCCCCAGACTCGAAGTACCGCACAGCACACTCAGTCCTTCTCTGCTTTAAGAATGGGCTCCTCCTTCACTTGCTCATCTTCGGGCTTGACGTCGTCGTCCATCGCCTCATCCTTGCTGTTCTCATGCAGCAGCACGTACTCCCTTGAACTGAACCCGAATTTGATCACGTCCCGCTCCAGCAGCTCCACGTACTTCTTGGGCTCGATTTTATTGTTGTTGATGAACGTGCCATTGGCTGACTCCAGATCGATGAGGTAAGGCCTTACCCTTTTGCCTGCAACAACCATATAAATCAGCTGAGCCTTTGAGGCGACTGGGACTAAAACTTACCCGCACTTCCGTTCTCCCTGGTAAATGGCACCAATCTGTATTGCAGCGCCGCATGCTGCTTGGAACATGACGGATGGTCCACAGCCAGATCCACGACCTTTCGGTCCCTACCGATAAGGTAGGCGCTCTCGCGATGAATGTACAACGTCTGTAGCGCCTTCTCGCCCTTGAACGGGTACAGCCTCCATCGCCGCCTCGGCTTTCTGGCCTCTGGAGGCTCACTGTACTTGATCACCACTCCTTTGTACGTGTTGGTTTCTTCAGTCAGTTTCCCGGACAGTCCAAAGTCGGGCTTCGCCTTGTTCTCCATGTCTTTCCGCTTCTCCTTCGGTTGGTTATCCTCCTTGCCCCAACGGGCGTTCGCATGGTCAAAGGACCTGCTCCTGCTTCGTCTGCGGTTGCCCCGACCCCGGCCCCGGCCAAAGCCCCGCGACTCATTGCCAGAGTTTCTTTGCCGGTAGTTGTTCCCGGAGCCCCGTGAATGTCTGCCTGTGTCCCTTCGGGGGGACCCCCTTCTGTACCTGGATGCGCTTCGCTCGGCTGGAGAGTCTTTTCTGTGTCGAGCAGAATCGCTGGATCTGCCCCGCTTGGGGGAACGTTTTGAGGACGCACTACTGGCCGATGAGGAGGAAGAGGAGCGATCACGTCTGCTGCGCTTTCTGGACCCCATTTTACCGTATGAATGCACTTGTCTTTATCCTATGATGCACGGATGTAAACAAACTGGGCAACGTCACTGTCACTAGCGTCACCCCTCCACTTCCGCGCTGTTGCCACCGCTCCCTTAAGCTTTGCAAACAAAACCAGAGGGCGCAGGCGACACAAGGAAAAAAAAGCGTGGCTCAATTTAATTTTTTATTTGGTAACAATTCCATGTTGAAATCCTCCACGACTAAAACAGTTGTCGCCAGGGGACAGGTACGCGTAAGTTTGGCAATATACAAATTTTTCACAATCATAATCATCCCTTGTTGTCGATTTATTGTAATTCAAAGTGGACTGGTCGGACAATTGGAGCCCCGCGCTTTTTATTCTACTAACTAATCTAAACTAACAATTAAACCATTACAATACTGTTAATATCGTGTAAAAAAAGATTAATCAAAGCACCCCCGACTGTCTGGCCACAATTTGCTTGGCTGGCGCTTCTCAATACCTGGAAGACTGTTGGGAAGTAGGGGGCCGATGAGGTTCTGTGCATTGTTCATTCAAAGACACATGAATCAAGCCGGCGCAACCAAAAGAAAATCATAAAAAGGCACTAAAGTTGAATAACCGCGGACAATTTTCGGCAAGTCCAATGACCCCAGGGACAGCGATCGATAGAAGAAGTTGCCCAGCCGAGTGGACTGGGAGCGACCGTGTTTTCCCAGGCAGGAAACGTGCCCCCGCAAAAGCCTCACCAACTAAATCTAGTTAAAAAGACATACGTTGCTACAAGGCAATTAACATTAAGTACAGTATAAATAATGCCTGTGCACTAAGAATATACACACTATTTACAGCTCGACTTGACACCGCCGGGCTATCACATCAGCAGTGGCGAATACTTTGTTTGTTTGCTTGATTGGGCGTAACTTACTATCACATTTCGCTTTACGGTCAGTTCGCACTGAGCATGGGGCCCCTCGCGGCGCTTCCGCCGTTTTACAACACCGACTCAATTTGCTTGATTTCCTTTTCGTTGTTGCTGGCGGACGTTTCGATGATCTTGGGCAGCGGCCGTTTGCCGCCCATCGTAATCGGCTCGTCCTCCTCCTCATCCTCATCTGCAAGCCAACCAACCTTCAGTCTCGCTCGCACTCGAGCTACGCCTACGAACTTACCAATGGGCGTAAGGGCGTCGCCGTCGCCCTGCACCTGCTCCTCCCCGTTAGTGAATCGCTTCATGTAAGGCGCCAGGAAGCTGGTGACGGCGGACACTGCAAACAGTCCGCCCGCTACATAGAACGGAATGTCATAGGAATGGGTGGCGTCATAAATGGCGCCCGCCAGCGGGGAGCCCACAATAGCGGCCGCCCCACGAAACAGAATCAACAGCCCGAAGGCGTTGGTCAGCTTGTCCAGCCCAAGCAGATCCACCAGGATGATGGAGGTAAGCGATATGTACCCGGCTGCGGACAGAAACAGCCAGTCCAGTCAGACCGCACTCAACTTGGCCAAGCGCCTACTTACAAACAGCGACGCCGAACGCAATGGCCATTATAACATAGGCGGGGTAGGTGTGGCAGAAGGGCGTGGCGGCTACAGCCAGCGTAGAAATCACCAAGCAGATGTTGTTCACTTGAAGGGCGTTGACGCGGGGAAAGTCCGCGAAGTAGCCGCACGCCACGCGCCCCACTGTGTTGGTGATGCCAATTATCGAGATGAGGAACGAGGCCTTCGTCGGCTCGATGCCCTAAACAAAAGCAATATTATCACTCACTTAAAAGCACACCTGTGCCGAACTTACATCCGCCTGGGCGCACGCCGCCAAGTAAACGAACGGAATATACAGACCGGCCATTCCAAACAGATTTGAGACAGCGATGCACATGAAAACGGGATCCTTCAGCAGGCTCATATCCATCATCTGGGAAAGGGCGTTCTTGAAACTATCGGGCAACGCCAGACATGGGCAGATATCAGCAGCTGAAACAAAAGCGTAAACACCCCTGGGGAAAATTAACGGCATTCACTTACGGGAGCCATCCTCTTCCAGCTGCTTCAGCTTGGGGATGCTCATAATGCTCTGGCGGTAGTTGGTGAGCGACTTTTGCGACTGATGGAACTCCGGCAGGTTGGTAATGGAGCCCGAGTAGAAAATATCCTTCCTGGACAGCGGCCGCACCATGTTGCCCCCCTTTTTGCTGGCCAGCGACATCTTGGACGTGGTGTAGCCCAGACTCTCCACGTCTACCTCGCTGTTGTTGTTGCGGCTCAGAAAGGAGCCAGTAGAGGTGTTGCGCAGCCGGCGCATTTCCGCATTAGAGCCCAGCTTGCCCCTCGAGGTCGACTTGATGGGGTCCAGAGTAGGCTTGAATCGCTCCCCCACCGAAGTCTTCCTAATACGATCGAATGTTGGCACCGATCCATTCTTTGGCAACCCTACAACACTCCGCACTTACTTTCGGCCCATGAAACCGCCCCCTAGTCACTCACCAGGAATTTGAGAGGAAAAAGCTGGCTGGCTGGCGTTGCGCGGCAACTTGGGGTCCTTGCCTTCCCCCATCTGGTTTTTGAGCTCCAGAAGCCGCGGGTGCTTGATCTCGGCCTGGCTCTCGCCTGGACTGGGGCTGCCCGAACTGCCACTCTGCTCAGTGACTTTCACCTCCGAAATCGTGGGCAACGTGGGCACCGTTGGAATTGGCGTGATCGGGGTTCCGGGCGCCAATTGGTCCAGGTTCAAGCTGGAGTGCACGCCTACAACCACACACTGTTTCCATCCAAAAAATCTTGAAAGCCCGCCGCTGCTTACCCGGGTCGATGTTCAGCGGCTGCTTCATCCGCTTCTCCATGGTGCCATCGGGCAGCTGCACCAAAAAGTACGAGCCGCCGATGCTGCCGCGCTCCATCTGGATGCGTCGCTCCTCAGCCATGCGTTGAAGCAGCGGCTTCTCGCCCGACTCCTTCGGATAGGTCAGCGGGCGCATCAACGCCCCAAACAGCACGCAATTCAGAATAAACCCGGCCAGAATCAGGTTGGCTCCACGCCACCCGAACTCCTGCAGCAACAGGTCGGCCAGGGGCGCGAACGCAAAGGTGCCCACTCCGGAGCCGCAGACCGCGATCCCAGTTGCCAGGGAGCGTTTGGTCTCAAAGTAGTAGCCCACGCACACCACGGCCGGCAAGTAAATAAGTCCAAAGCCCACACCGCCAATCACGCCATAGACCAGCATCAACCAGTTCACGGTGGGGCAGAAGGCGCTCAGAATAAAGGCAGAGGTCGAAATCAGGGCGCCGGCAATACAAACCGCCCGGCACCCAAACTTGTTGGTGAGGGCGCTCACTAAAGGACCAGCACTGAGGTACATGCCTGAGAGGAGAGATCCTACCCATGCTGTCTTGCCCTGCGGACAAAAACTAGCTTTTAAGACACATTTTGCTCACAAATTAAATCTTGATCAGCGCCCACAGGGGCTGAACGCCACCAGATATTAGGCCTGGGTAACACTGTGTTGAGTTGCGCTTTTCAGTTATTGCCACTCTCTGAGTTGTAACTCATCGGTTAATGAGTTATATGTCATTTATTAAAGCTTTACGAGACCCGAGACAGGAATTTTCACACCTAAAACACCGTCATTAACATTTTTTCTGAGTAACGTTTTACTACCTTGTTCAAACAACTTTAAAAAAGTAATCTAGATTTTCTCAGCAACCGAACTGACTCCAAATAAACTCGACGAGTTTTCTTGTAAAATCAATCTCTTAATTATTTTGCATAAAAGATTCAGTTTGCCAATATTTCACTGTAAAACGTTCGGACAAACGCGGTTTTTCTGTTTAGAGACAGTGTTGTTTAGAAATATTGACCAAAAAGTGAAGAAACCCCAGTTCTCTCAATAAATGATTATAAACTTTCGCTTTTTCAGTTGGGGGAAATATTTTTGGAAAAACACCCAGAAATCATTATTACGGTTTCGTCCACCATTCGAGTTTTCCAAACATTTTTGCAAAGCGATTAAGGAGGCGAGTGGTCCAATAAAATGTATGTTATAATTTTTCGCAAAAAAAGAAAATACCTGATAAGATTGCCAGTATTTTAAGTAACACTAAAAAATAATGCGATTTTTGCGTAAATTTTATAAACTTTTAAAATCTTCAGCGCGATGAGGGCGGCAAATTTTCCTAATTATTTTTCGTAAACTTTTGTTCTCTGGTCGTTTTTTCAAGATAACCTTAATTACTTTCGGTGAAAAATTAAAATTATTTGGTTTTTGTGCCAAATTCCAAAATTCGTTTTCTAAAGTTCCCTGCAAACCGATGAATGAGGCCAATTTTCTATTGTCAGAACCGAAGAAAATAATCAGAAAATAATATTTTTGTGCGTTTTTGATTTAAAACTTTTAGTTTTGTGATCGGTTTTTTAGAAAATAGTTTTCGGGAAAAAACGGGATAAATTTATTTTCGTTTTTGTCCCGAATTCGACTACGAATTTTTCACGTAAAATACATCCAGATCGTCAGTATTTTTAAGTAAAACTCTACAAAATAGAGCGTTTTTGAGTAGAAAGTAAAGCAAAACAAAATTCAGTCAAAACTAAAGAAACTAATTTTTTTAACAAGCTCTACAGTCTTCAGAGGCATAGAGGTGACGAGTTTTCCAAATAATTTATTATAAAATTTAGCTTCTTCAGTTCGTTTTTTGTCCCAAATTCGAAGCTGGAGGAAAGGGATTTCAAAACTTTTTTCAAAGCGACGAAGGAGGCTAGTGTTTTAATAAAATGTATTTCATAATTTATGGCGAAAAATACCTTAAGATTGTCAGTATTTGCAAGTGAATATTTAGAAAAAAGAGTAACTGTGATAAAACTGGAAAATTCTGAAATTTTGAAGAAATATTTAAAATATTATCGATAAATGGCCCTTAAAATCAATCTAAAAACAGGTAAAAAAGTCATCAACATTTTCCTAGCAACGAAACTGAGTTACTGCGCCGGTGCGTTGGGTTGGCGCGCAAATCCTTTTTGCGCCGCACTGCGCCAACTCCTAAAAATGTATTGAGTTACCCAGGCCTAACCAAGACTTTGGACTTCGAGCGGGTTTGAAAGGACGAGCCAATTTCCCGTAAAAATTCAGCCAAATTACCTTTGATTCACCGTAGAACGTGACCATGGGCTGCAGGAAAACGCCAAACGTGTAGGCGATTCCGTCGACGATCATATTGCACATAAAGGAGGCGAAAACCACCACCCAACCGTAGCCCCCATCCGGCGGAGGCGGCAGGTCGTGGTAGCCGCAGTAGGAGAGATCATCCTCCTCGCCCTCCTGCTGGTCAGCGGTCAATCCGGCCGCTTCTTCGCAGGCGACTTCGCTATCAGTCTGCAAACAACAGGGAAACTTAGAAAACTGCCGATTACCGGCTTTTACTAGTGGCACGGGAATGCGGCATACTAATTAAGCGTTTAAATTGCTTCTAATTGTGTAGAGGCTAAACGGTTTAAAGCCAGCGAATTGTTGAAGCCACACGTTGCCTTTCAGCGCGAAATTAGATAACGCGGTTGCGGTTACAAGGCGAATACCGATCGGGCCGAGATAAACAGTTGCCACATTTTATGACTGGAACCAATGGTCGCAGCCCCTCAAGACTCCTAATGAAAAGAGGGCGCCAGCTCTTTTATAGAACACTTAATAGGATCGATTTACTGGCACTAAAACCTTCATCATCATAAAGTTATTGACAAGCAATTGTGTGTAGGAATGGAAAAGCCCCCCAGTATACGCGCGAGATTGAAGATCATTGACCCGAATTTATTGGGCGATTGGATGAGAGATCGCAGTTTTCCGTGGAAGAACCCCGAGGGCGAAGCCCTGCATACATAAAACTCACCTTGAACTTCCCCATCTCAACCAAACTCAATCACTACTAGACTAGCCAGGGACTGGAGGCGACAGAGGCCCCGATGCACCACCAACGTGGACAGAACTAAGAAGAGGCCGCTTACCCTTATCAAAGGCCTGATGATCGGGCACTTGAAATTATCGCTTTAATCGGAGCATAGAAACGAGATAAGTCCTCATAAAACTAACAAGATAAATCCTAGATTAGGCCGCTTCTAATGTCGGTGTGCTAATTAAGACGAATGATGGAAGGAGGCTGTTTGGGCAAACAGCCTCCTTTGACCTTTGGAGCGTCAAAGCAATCAAGCCACCCACCACAATGCGGTTTGGGAGCGCATTTGTTATTATGCACTTCGTGCGGAGCACCCAGCTGGCAAACATGTGATTTTGGAATAATAAATTAATCAAGTGGCGCAACGCTGAGCAGCGGAAAATCTACGGATTTGACCAACGCAACAATCGGCTGCGACAGCACAAAGGATCAAGCAATCGCTGCTGACCTTTGCCTTTGTTTTTGGTGACTCATTTCCTGGATAGAGGAAGAAAGGCGAAGAAAGCAGTCTTTGTTTACTGTTGGGATGTGTTTTGGGGACTGTGGGTGCTCACCCTGCTGATTTTCCTGGAGCGGGGCGCTCGGATTTCCGACAAGTTGCCGCTGGACATGGTAGGCGGCCTGGCACACTTTGTCTGGATCCCACACGGGCACCGCTCACTGGCACAGATGCGAACCAACGCGACCAAGCACACCCATTTTTTCGCAACTGGAACTCGCACACGTGGTAAACTGTAACGGCAAACTTTTGCAACTGGTTGGCAAACGCTCGTGAATCGAAAATCTAAATTCAGTGTGTGGAGGTTGGAGGAGTGAACGGGCGACGCTGACGTCACCCACGAATTCCCCCCAGTATCGCGATTATAACACGAAGCAGATGCGCAGCCAACAACTGGGAACGTAGTCGGACTAAGAAAAGCCGTAAAAGTTGGATTTGATGGTGAAAGTCCACTAATCTACAACCGACAAAGGTAAAGATAAGGCTCGGCTCGAGAAGTCTGGACGCACTATAACGTGCGTAATGGTCTGCCGAGCCGAGCCTGAGCCGAGCACAGTTCGTCACGGTTGCTTTACCGAATAGGCATTTTATTACGATTTCTGTGATATATCACATCGTTAGGATTATTTCGAAAATAAAGTGTGCGAACGATTTATACGTTTTCAATTTAGTTGATCGAAGTCAGCCATGGAAAATAGTATAAGACATACAGCATTGTTTCCATAGTAACAAATAATAACAGTATGTTTCAGTATTTAAATTGACAACTACCTTAAAGTTGGCAATAAGTTTATTTTAATTAAGACTGCTAATTTAAAGTGTGTATTATAAAAATCCAATCATGCCAATAATAATTAACATTTAACTCTAGAAACTTTAATTTTTATTGTAAAACCTTTCCGAAAAATCCACTATTATTATAAATGCAAACATTGCAACGCTTTAAAACTGAATAAGTTGCCTTTCTTGCGGACCGACCATCAATATTTTCAAATGCTCTAACAACAGCTTCTTTAAATGCATTTAAATTAGAATATTTGTTTTTGTAAACTAGGTTTTTACGGCTCCCCACAAAAAGAAATCCAAAGGTAAAAGATCCGGTGATCGAGGTGGCCATAAAATAGGGCCATTTCGTCCAATCCAAGTTCCAGGAAATATTATTAGGAGGGGAAAAATTATGCGGAGGAGCGCCATCATGTTGAAACAATTGCACATTACGCCATGTTTCTAAATCTAAGTCGCCAAAGATAAAATCCAGGTTATTCCGAAGGAATTGAAGATACCGACTCCCATTTAAGGTGCCTTCAAAAATAAATGGTCCAAGAATTTTTGAATCTACCATTCCGCTCCAAACGTTAAACCCAAATTTAATTTGTGATATCCTTTGCTCAACGTGGTCGGGATTTGTTTGATTCCAAAGATGTTCATTGTGTCGATTAAACATACCACAATTTGTAAATCGAGTTTCATCGGTCCACAATATTTTATAAGGGAATTGGAGGTTTTGTTGGCATTTGCTTCGGAACCATGTACAAAAATTAACACGCAGCTCCTCATCCCCTGGACGTAAAGTAATACTGATAATTTATACGGATGGAATTTGCGTTTTTTTAACCTCTCATCACGGTGCTTTGGGAATTCCCGGATTCTGCTGCGACCTCTCGGGTTGAAGTCTGTGGATTCTGGCTTACAATGGCCAAGACATTAACCTCAACAGCTTCATTTATTACTTTATCTTCATTTCTTGGCTGCGTAAAACTTCCATAAGTGCCCAAATTGTCGGATAATCGTTTGAATGTTTTCAAAGACGGTTGACGACGGTCAAAATGCCTCTCAAAATAGTAATCAGAGGCTCGTCTAGCATTTTGATCACATCTAATGTAGGTTTCAATCTTGTCGCGCTCTTCTTAATTGGAATAATTTATTTTTACAACAAAACTAACTTAGATTTTTAAGTCAAATTTAAACTTGAATGTCAAAAATTGAAAGAAACAATGCTCTATCTTATACTATTTTCCATGGCTAACTTCGATCAACTAAATTTAAAAGTATAAATTGTTCGCAGACACTTCATTTTACAAAAAATCTTAACGATGTGATATAACAGAAATCGTAATAAAATGCTCTATTCGGTGAAGCAATAATCAAGGATGATTACCATACAAAAACTCAAATTTGTGTCATATGTCTAAAATGACAGTTATTTTGGAGAAATTTCTTATGCCTCTTTTTGGAATTGAAAATCCTACAAGTTCTATTAAATGTTTTCCTGTCAAATGAATATCAACGGAACTAGAAATAATTAAAAAATTTACCATAAATAAGATTTTCCCAAATACTCTTGATAGCTGTCCAATTTTATAAAAATAAAATTGGTTTCGAGTAGAGCATTCAAAACTATAATTCTTTGTCCATTTAACCTTTTTCGTAACTGCTATAGTTTCGAAAATTCCTGAACTGGCCATCGAAAAAAACTCACCCTGTATGTAAGCTCGTTGGAAATTCAGTTGGAAGCAAGTGTGTGACGTGATTAGTTTATTAAAACTGACGCGCGGATTAAAGTTGATTTAACTATCGGAAAATCTGTCGAGGCGATCAAGAAGGAAATAGCCAGTTTATTGGCGTCATACAGAACGAAAAAAAAACAGAATTAATCTTCAATGAGAACAGAAACTGCCCAAAATTAACACAACCACCGTTTGTTCTTCGTCGTCAGACTTGTCACGGACTCGACTCTGGCTTGTCGGCGGCTCGCATGTGGCTCGGCTTAGTACATTTCAATATGGCGTCTCATGTAATGACGTAACTGTCAAATACATTGGGACAGACTCTAGTTGCCAGCTTTAAAGACAATCCAAAGGGCTTTTCGTTGAACCTACCACCCCCGAAACAATTAATGGGAAATGAAACTGGGTCACATGTTTTCAAGGGTTCCATCAAAGACAAGTAATAATTCCCTCGTTATCCCTTGTGACTCTTGTTACTCCATCTTGACTTGATTAAGAACAGAGTTGTCAACAGGTTCCATAACCTCAAAAGAAACTGCCATGTTCGTGAATTAGTGCTGGCAGGTTTCACAGATCTAAAAATCCAGCCATCTATTAGGTTTATATTGGGATTAAGAAACTTCCTAAGCTAGTGGGAGCGTAGGAGTCTACCCTATTCGCCAAAATGGCCTGAATTGAAGTAGTTGGGACGTCTTCAGACAGACAGTCGAGACACCCCTACTGCGAAGACTAGCAAATAAAGCCAACCCGAAGCCTTAGATTCGTCACCGGACGCTCATGGTCCAGTCCAATACAGTCCACAGTGACGAGACAATTGGCCACCCCCGAAACAGCCAGCACAAAGAACAGTTGCGAATCACTCACCAGAATGTCGGAGCCCCTTCGTGAGTCACATTTTTCCGGTTCATCCTCGGCGCCCTCGTCCCTGCTCTCGGTCTGGCCCATGATGGAGCCGGGGGCTCATCAGCAGACGCCCAACCAAAGCCCGATTCACCTTTGACGCACGCCACCGCCGATTGAATGGCCGCCGAAGAGAAGGATGTTTAGCGGCGCGCCGTTCCGTCGCCCTGGCGACGGGCGTTGACGTCCACTGCGGCGTCGCCGCCACTGCCATCTTGTCAGCGCCCCTTCGAACTGATAATACCGGTTAAAGGGCGGATTCTCAAACAATCGGCAACTAACAGAGTTTTATTCGCAGAACCTTCGGTACATGTCGAATTGTTAGGGACACCCTGGTGCTCCTCGTGAGCGGCTCACGAAGCGGGTATTTGGCGCTACAGTTGCCCAGGTTGGCGCAGTCACTGACTTCGTCCCAATCAGCCTCTCGAATGGAATGTAAATAGTCTGAGTACAGGGCGTCCTTGACAACCACCAAACTGCGTCGCTCCAGCAGGATCTTGCAACTTTTCGACCGCTGCTCGGTGTTTTCTGCGAACTCCAGCACGGTGTGCGAGCCGCAACTAATGGTGGTCACCGTCGGGTGAAACAGGGGGCCGTCAGTATGGGGCATGATCCCCTGACCGGCCAGATACTCGTTTACCAGCACATGGTTGGGGCGTTTGCCCTCCAGCACGTTCAAGTGGGCCACTTTGTCCACGTACTGCTGCAACCAGCCGGGCATCTTTTCCGGGATCATGCCCTTCTCGTGGGGCACCCCGCCGTAGTCCTGCAGCCGGCGCCCCGACAAGCAGGTCCATTTCGGCTTGGGCGCCCCATTTACTTGCTTGAGCAGATACTCCTCCTCGTCCCCAGTTATAAAGTTTGGAATGTAGTAGATGGTGGGCGGAATGTTGGGCACTTTAAATGCGGTCACATCCATGTTTTTACATCTCGAAAACGCAAAAATTGCCTGCAGTCTGTAACGAAAATAAACGCAGATTTTTTAAGGTTTAGGATAGCTTTGACCATAGATGAAGACAACAGGCTTTGACAGCAAAACACTGATTGACAGTGTTAACCTCACTTCTGAGCAGGAAATGCTGCGCTCCCTGCTCAACCTCACGAAATTAGCAGTGCCTAGGCCTGCGGCGCTGCCAAGCAGCAGCACCCGGCCCGCCATCACTGCCCTCTGCAGAAACTACTCGCTGTTCCAGCCTCAAATAGCCCCCTCACTGTGTAGCCCCACGGGGCTCAGTCCCGTGCAGGAAAGCGTGCGGACAGTGACCAAGTTCTCCTGGGGGAAAGGCAAGAGGAAGAGCGTACACTCAGTACTGGAAAGGTTAGCGCACCTATATATAACCTGTAAGAGCAGTTAGAGTGTTTAGAGGGTATCCTAATGTGCCGTAGGTTCTATCGGCTGCATTGGGGCATCTGGATCCGGCGGAAAGCCGGCTGCCACAAACACTTGTGGAAAAAAAGCCCGCAGCGAAAACGGCGCCTGCGACAGCACGTATTTTGCAACGCCACCCAAAGCTACCTGCTGGATAAAATGGTCGGCAGCTACTGGCGCAAGCCCCGCTACTACGTCAACGACCCCTATGAGCCTTACCACTCGCGGGAGGAGTTCCACCTCACTGCCAAGAAGCCGCGCCCCTATTCATCCCCTGAGCAGATTTAGCCTCTTCAACTGTCCAAATAGTTAAACATAAACCCCTACAGTACTTACATTGTTTTTTCTTGGGGCTGAGCCCGATGTGTTCAGTTTCTTGATTAAGAGCCCCATTTCCAGCTAACTCATATTAGGAGCCCTACAACAACATAACCTAAATCAAATTGACATCAATGTCAATGGCAGTGGATGTCTAACCCGAATCAGCTGTAACCTCCAGTTCTTGGAGCAAGTGTTTGTGGTGGTAAAGTTCGATTAAAGGCGCAATGAATTCGCTGACGAAGGGGGCCAAGTGGAAGGCGTTGTGGCGCCAAGGGCTCAGTCCCACAACGACCGCAGTGCGGCACCGTAAGTACACAAACTCTCGCTAGGGTTATGTAACTGGCGAAATGCCCTGCTAGATTGGAACAAGGACTACAAGCCGGGCCCCTTCCCAAAGACCCAAGAGGAGCGCGAACTGGCCGCAAAAAAGTACGGGGTTCCGATCGAGGAATACGAGCCCTATCCGGACGATGGGAGCGGCGCTGGGGACTACCCCAAACTGCCCATGATATCGGCGGAGAATAAAGACCCGTTCTATCCGTGGGACAACCCGGAGCTGAAGCGCAACTTTGGGGAAACGCTGCACGAGGATTTCGACGCCTTAACCGAGGACCGTTTGGACGTGAACCGCCAATTCCATCTCCCTTTATGGCAATTGGTAGCCCAATTTTTTGCAGTGACGGGTGGGCTTGCTGCCCTGATTCTCTTTGCCCAGCCTTTCAAGATGTACCGGGCGGCAGTACCGCCCCAGTACCCCAACCAGGGCAAGACTCACTACTCGTTCGAACAGGCCTGAATGGACCAAACTGGTCCGAGAGCTTCTGAGTTTGATTGAGACATCCAACCGTTTAGGAAATGGTTTATTACAAATATACATAAATACTTAAGAAGAATGTTTTTAATACTAAACTCCTTCTCCGCACAGACCAGGAGACTAGCTGTACAATCACAATGAGGCACTCGTTGGGGCGAGCGCGTTTTCTATTACCTAGTGAGTGGAGCCCTAACTGGACCGTCCGGGGTAGGGCCTGTCGGGCAGTTTGGGCGGCACGTTCGGCATGGGGCGGCTGCAATAAAATCACGCATTATTCAAAGTTTTTGCCGCCCTAGCGCGCACTTACCTACTTAAACCGCTAAACAACACACAAGCACATCGCCGATTGCCCACAAGGGAAGGTTAGTAAATGAAAGTTAAGAGCTAATTTGTAGGTCTATATTTACAGGTAACTCCCGTGTGCACGTACAATTAAAGCACACTAAAACGAACGAGTGGCGGAGCCCTAAACCGCGCGCGCGAGCATTTTAATTACAATAAACTTTATTTAATCTCAATATTAACATTAATTGTGTTTACTGCTTCACGAGTCTTTACCAACAGTACAATATTTAAGCAGTGAATGAGCGGGGATGAACGATACGTGGATTTTAAACCGAGAAAAACTGAGGGCTACATAGTACTTAAATATTGCATAACAACGACGTTCTTCAGAGGCTGATTAAAGGGGGGCAGTAATTGACCATATTTGACGAATATACACTACTACGTTACAGTTAAATGGAATTCCAAATACGCTACACATTAGCTCTCTATACGCAAGCGAAAAGAATTATTTGCTGATCCTTACTCTAGGCACTAAAGTCAATAACGTTATTGATTATGTAGTAGTAACAAGGTTGGCTCTATTGCCAACAATAAACTCTTATTATTCTAAGTTAGCGGCAGATTACATTAGAGACACCTAAATGTGAAATTGTTGCCCTCTTTGGATATGTTTGAATCCAAACCCCACGAACATGCGTTAATAATGATAGCCCCCTTTCGCATGAACTAGTTAATGCGTGCAACACACAACAAAGCCCAACATGTCGTTAATATACACACACAGACACACGCCTTCACGCACACACACAAGATATATATATAATATATATTTACTTAAATTTGAAGGCATTAGAAAGTTCATTGACGGCGGCCTGGGTCATCGCCCGGCCCACTGCCATCTGCACCTGCTGGGGCACCTGCACGCCTCCCTGTGCCCGGCTGTTGACAAAACTCAATTACAATCCCCGTCCAGGCAAGGACTTCTCGTCAACAATTCCCTAACGTCTAAATGGTTAAATGGGGGCAAAGGGGCGCAAGCCACTATTTTATGCTGCACCCTTATACTCATGCACCAAAAATGATTTTCTCCAATTCAGCATGCTTCAAACCACCACCACCACCACCAACTAACAAACATTTGAGTGGTTGAAACTGGTGAGTGTTTCGTGTGAATTAGAATTCCTTTCTGACGATTCGCCCACACCAGCCGCAGCAGTTGTGCTTGCGAAACATCGGAAAGAAATTTTGATTTATTTTCCTGACTGCGTGTAATTGTTATTATATTCTTTTCCTTCCTGGGCTGCAGTCAAAGTGTGAAACAAAAATTTGTATATCGTTTCGGCGAGATAACAGCGCCAACATCAGATTTGAAATTCATATAAACTCATAATTGGGAAATATTAGATTCTTTTAGGTCTTGGCTGTCTTGAAACCTCACATTTGTTTGAATTATTGTCTACATTTGCAAATGTAGGAAAGAACCCAAGAAAGAAAAAAATATAATAATCGGGAAGAAATTCCAATTCACGACGGCCTAAACCCCGAAAGACTCACCATAATCAACCCTTCAGTTGGGCCCTTTTGCCCCCCAAAATGAACTCGAAGAGCGGCAATCGCTAGTTACTTTTTACATATTTAAAGGCGACTATTAAAATGAAAAAATAAAAAAACTAAAGTAAATGCCGCTCCTCTGTTGTTGCGTTGTTTAACGCCTCCTGAAAAAGAAATCTGCTGATTGACGAGGTAGCTCCTGAATGGCAAGTGCGCTGCGAATTTAAACCCAATAACCGACTAGATAAGAGAAAAACTCACGTGGGAATCAGTGGGGCGGGCAAAGCCTGGCCCTGTGGGCGGCCTGGAGGCATGGGCGGAGCCCCGCCGCCAGGTCGGTTGGGGATAGCGGGCGCTGGGCGACCGGTGCCGCTGGCTAGGGGAACTGACACCGATCTAGAGCCCAACGATCCTGCAAAAAACCTGATTATTTCGCGTCTCCGGGTTGGTTGAGAAGTCGTACCGCTGGACCCCATGGTGCCCATCTGGGGCGTCGGCTTACGCGGGCCACCGGGGCTGGGTGGTGACAGTCGCGGGTTGTCCATGCCGCTGGCCAGCCAGTCGTTCTTTACTGGCGGAGGAACTGGGGTGGAGACCGTGGCCATTGACACGTCCCCGATGATTCGCAGGGCCTCTTTGCACGCGTGGTACATGCGCATCATATCCTCTCGCTTTTGGGCTTCTTCGGGCGCCTCCTCCATTAGCTGGGACTGAATCGGCAATAAGACTGGGCAGGCAAAGAGCAAAAACTCACCTGATCACCGCTGGCGTAGATGTGCGCCAGCAGTTCGCCGTTGATGAAATCCTTGCAGTTATTGATGATCATGTGCATGATAGTTTTCGGGATCAGGTCCCTCGTTGTCTTGGTCACGATTCGCATGTAGCTGTCCACCAGGTTGCGGATGGTCTCCACCTGGCGCTCCAGCTGGGGGTCCATCGAACTGGACGCGCCATCGTTGACGGTCTAAATTCGAAATTCCCAATTAGAGCACTGAAGTGTAGGCCTTTTATCATCGAGTTGGCGCAGTGCCACGCAAATGGTCTGGTGCGCCAACCCGACGCACCGGCGCAGTAACTCAGTTCCGTTGTTGGGAAAAAGTTGATTACTTTTTTACTTGTTTTTAGATTTATTTTAACGCCTGGCCATTTATCAAAGAATGGTTTTTTAGTTTTGACTAATTTTTTTTTGTTTACTTTCTACTCAAAAACGCTCTATTTTGTAGAGTTTTACCTGGAAATTCTGACGAAAACCTTTAGGTTTTCTCAATAAACGACCCGAGAGAGCGAAAGCATACAATCAATATTTGGAAAACGCGTCATCCTCATCGCTCTTATTTTCTTTTAAGTTTCTTCAAAATCTCCGGATTTTTCCGTTATGAACTAAATAGTTTCAAGCAAACGTATGCACAAAAGCAATATGTTGATGGCTTTTTTTTTGTTAGATGCAATTCCGCCACCTGCCATGAGCTATAACTCATTATCCAATGAGTTAAAACTCATTAACTCAGAGAGCAGCAACAACTCAACACAGTGTTACCCAGGCCTACTGAAGTGTTGGGCCAAAGAAAAAGGAACAGTTAAAACACCCGGGCACGCATTGAGTTAGAAAGTGAAACCAGCACAGAGTCAAACCGCCATACCCTCCAATCCCCTACTTGCCCTTTTGCCCTGCAAATTAACGCACTGTTGACGGGGACTTTATTCTTCACTTTTTTCATAAAATTACTTTACCTCTTCGCCGTTGAGCTGATCGGTTTGCTTCTCCGGATAAACGCCGGCACGCAAGAAGGACGCCTTCCACGAATCCACTTCGTCCAGGGTTTCGCAGCTTAGCTCCAGCTGCTTGTAGTCCTGCAAGCAAAGGATTAGGAAAAATTTGTGCCCCTTGTGAATACCAGCAAATTTTGTGTCGCATTTTGTACCTTGTATACGTTCCTGCCATCCGGATTGAACAGCGCAAACATGTGCCTTCGGGACATGAAGCCCTGCTCAATATCGCGCAGTTTGAGTCCGTCCAGCGGCAGCATGTACTTCTTTTCGCGCTCCTCCTCGTCCTTGAACCAGGAGATGTTCTCCGATGTGAGCACGAACCAGTAGTCGCGCGAGCCCCCTTTCATAATACCCAGATTGTGGATGCACATGTACCCCTTGCGGATCACCTGGTTGCCCAAGGTGCCCCGCGAACCTTTGGCGGCCGCCGCTTCCGATTGATTCTGTGCGCTGAAATTCAAGCTACTTAATTGACGGTGATTCGCACGAAAGCCTAAGCGGAACATTTACTTTGCAAAGCCGATGAAATCCTCGTGGTTCGTGTTCATGTAGGCCAGCTCGCAGTCGTTCAATAGACAGATCTGCTCCTTGCAGAATTGCTCCTTTTGGCGAATCTGGGTCGTGATTATGCGTTCCACTTCTTCGCGCAGTCGAGGATAGCGGGTCATCTGCAAAATACTTTGGTGATGAACTGGATTAGGATCCTGCGAACAGAACTCTTACCCTATCGGTGCAGATGCGAACGACATTGGACAGCTCAGTGACCACGAGATCGACGCATTTGAGTGACGGCTCCTTCAGCCGCGTGATTTGCTTCTTGACAATGGCCTCGAAGGCCATATCGGGGGTGAACAGCCCAACCTGCAAACACCGGCGTCCAATGAGCGCAGCTCCAGCAGTTAAAGATTCGCGCTTACCCTGATTCCGTGAATGTTCCGGATGGCAAAGGCGATCTCACGCCTCAGCTCCTTCTCGTCGAACTCCATCTTGACGATTTCAAAGGGGAACCGCTCGTGGAACAGCCGGTTTATCTTGGCGCCGCCCGACAGCTCCATGGTGTTGATCTGGGCCGAGCCCGAGCCTTCGATGGTGCGCTCAAAGTCCGTCTGCAGTTGCTGGATCATCCTGGACGAGCCGTTAAAGTCTCACTAGCTAATCAAGCGGGTAACAACAAAGTCTTACTGAAGCATGGCTTTCGTTTTGATAGCAGGATCATCCGGCCGGAAGTGTTTAAACTGGTCGACGTCTTTCTCCAGAGTGAGCAGCTGCTTCTGCAGTTTGTCTCGCAGCCCGGGCAGGGTGTCCCTGATGTGATTGGTGAGCTGCTGGTTCAGAACCCGCTGCAGAAACGGCGTTCCCAAGCGGTCGGCTAAATGCCGATACGACGGGTGGCTCAGGAAGAACTTGCGCTCGGCGGCTAGGGCCGCGTTGATGTCCTTGCGGCCTTCGATGTCCTTCTGCGACCGGTTCACCACCCCGATGTAGCCCCGTCTAAGCGGTAGCAGCTTGTTTTCCAGGATATCGCGGGCGTCCGTGCCCTCGTCCATCAGGTCCAGTTTGGTGATTACGCCGATAGTGCGAATGCCTTTCGCAATATTTCAATTTGTTGAATTGCCCGGTTGGGACGTAAAAATACTTTGTGGCCCAAATTAAATCCTATCGAATGGAAACTCCTGTTTCTAGACCAGATTCCAAATTAAGGACGAACACCGTATATTGCCTTAGCAGCGGCAAATTCTTTTGAAGTTCAACACCGACAGGAAATCGGTGGTTTGTGAAACATCAATGAAAACGTGGTCTGATCACAATTTCAGAGTTTCCATCGAAAAGTGTCCAATTTGGCCCAGCCTGTACCTTGTGGGTCGACCTCCTTAGCCAGTTTAAGGGCGTCGGAGTTGGCCAGATCGGTGTTCGCAGGAGTGACGGCCAGAATAAGGCAGGAATCGCGCTTAATGAACTGGTTAATCATGTTCCGGATCTGTTGCTCGATGTCAATGGGCTGGTCCCCGATGGGGACCTTCGTGAGTCCCGGCAGATCGATGAGGGTGAGATTGAGCACTGCATAAAAACCACAAACAGGCTTGCGACCACAGCCGAGGCGAATGGGTGTTGCTTACCATTAGGGGAGTAGACTCGTAGGTTGATGGGGATGTTGGAGATGCCCTTGTTGCCTCCGGTGACCCGATCAGTTTCTCCTTCGATTTCGCGGCGGATCTCGTCAAAGTCGACGAACTTTTTCCCTTTACAGTGCAGAAATTCGCCATACTCTGCAAAATAGAGCAAGGTAAGTTCATAGGGTGTTTGAACGTGCCAAATCCTAGCCCCCTACCAGCATTTCCATGAATCAGCTGGAGGATTAGGGGGCGTCTGGTGACAATGCCCGAGCCCCTAGGCAGGAAGTCCCTGGAAACAAGATAAGATTAGGAACAGCCGAACAAAGCGAGTGAGTGTGTCCGGTGGGATCCAGGTCAAATGGGTGTTTATGTAAGTGGAAAATCGATCGTCAGCAAGTGACAAGCCGGGCTGCCCACCCCCTGGGTTACCCGGCCTGGATGTGGGCACTCACTTTCCGACGAAGTTCTCCAAAACGGAACTTTTGCCTGCCGATTGTCCGCCCACTACAGCGATCTGAGGCAGGTCCAAAGTCATATGCACCCCCAGCTGCGTGAAGGCGTCTTGCAGCTTGTTGACGATGGGGATCAGTTGCTCCATTCCCGTGTTCCCGGGCATTGTGCCGGGATCGGTTTCACTCACTCACGAACAACAACAAACGGGTATTATGGGCCTGTCTGCTTCCTATCCGATTAATTTAGGATGCGAACATGGCTGCAACAGAATAACAAACGGCGTCGACGCAGCGCATGACTCATTTCGATTGCCGTTGCTAAATCGCGCGCACCATTTCCAGAATTCAAACGATTCTAAGACTGATCGGATCCAGGAAATCAACAGCAAACACTCTGGAAGCCCACAAGGGAATTTCTCCAACAAAACAACTATCCCGAATACTGTTGCCAACCTCACGGGCTAGATCTATCGCGTTTTACTACACATGGACAACGGAGATAGATAGACTTCGCTGACGCTCAGCTTCTCCAAGTTTGCGGCGTTGCTGATTGAGGTGTTGGAAGAAAAACGAAACAGACTAGACTGACAATAAGTTGGAAATTTTATATTTAAAATAAATATTACAACATTAGAACAATTACTTTTTAGTCCTGAAATTTCGGGGCAACAATTTAAAACTCCAAAAAAACGGTACAGATTGAGCAAAACCCGTTCACTGACTAGTCATTCGACGAAACTCTCTATTCACACTGTGTATAAAATATATATTAAAAAAAAACAAATGCACTCGAGTAAATGTGAGTAATAAAGAAACAATTGGCAAACATAACATGATCGAAGTGAATTAGCACGATTAATAATGAGTATTCCATAATATAATAATAATAACAAATACGTAACCACATGGATTAAGTGCTACTTGTAGCGGCCATTTTCTATTGTACTTGCGAAATGGGGGCCCCTACAACAACCTTATGTACCCAGAGAACCAACCTCAACACGCTCCCAGTTCTTATCCTAAAACTACATTCGAGGGTTACAGATTAAAGGGGGGGGGGGGTTAACTAAACAACTAACTAAGTCGGTAATGGCATGACCCTCTCCAGCCACCAGAGGGCGATGGTCTAAGAAAAAATGGCCGTTGGACGGATTAGGGGGCGCACTAAAGCGGCCGCGTGAAGTTGGCCGGAAACATGCCCTTCTCCCCGTTCTCCTTCATCCCCATCAGCCAGCCCTCCTCCTAAACACAGCCACCCAATCAGAACGCAGGCTCAAGCGCCATTTGACTACCAACCTGTTCATCTGGATCGTCGTACTCCACCACAGAAACAATCTCCCCCACATCGAACGACAGTTCATCCACGTCCTCTCTGGTGTATTTGTAGGTGGCCTTCACCCTGTAGAGCACCCCGGGGGGCAGATGCTCGGTGCTGGCTTCTGGAAAACCCGCAAAGTGAGCATGTGGCGGCTCATCAGCCTTTGCCAAACATCCACACTCACCCACAGGAATGTCATAGACCTCTTCGACTTTTTTCGTGGGCGATTTGTTAGTGTCACTCGCTGCACACGTGTTAATGGGGTCTTTAGAGTCGGGCAGGTCCGGACTGGCGGGTTCCGGCGACGAAGAATTAGTGGGAGAAACGGGAGAAACTAGGTCATTGCTGGCAGTATTAGCGTTTGAATCTGGCACAGAGGGGAACAGCTCCGGCTCTTCGTCATTGGCTGCAAGATCCACCGATGGGGTTAGCGATTGGCTGGGTGGTTAGTGACGCCAGCTACCGCTCACGGCAAACCAGTACTTACCTCTGGATGGGGGTAGATTGTTGATGATCAACTCCGGGGAGTCCTTGAGCAGGCTTTTGGGTCGGGGCAGGCTGTTGGTGCCATTTGTCTTCTTTACGCTGTACGAACCGCGCTGACTGTCGGTGGCCAACTTATCCACGATGTCCTCCAGCTCGTTAAAGATCTGCAAAAGCATCATGCACTAAATAGACAAAGTTTTGAATCCCGGCGCTTACTTTGGATGACTGCGAATGGAAAGTGTGCTCGGCGTTAAAGAGCGTTTGGAGATTGGTGACCAGGAAGAGGACGCGGGAGTCAAACAGGGCAGGCAGCTCGTCATGGAGTTCCGAGTTGAGAATCTCGTAGGTGCGCTTGGCCTCCTCCAGCTGCTCCCGCCCTTTGCCAATCTTCACATCGTCCCGCTTCTTCATATTGGTCTGCAGCGCTTGGAAGCTGTGCCGCTGACTGTCGTAATCCACCAGCTTGCGTCCTCGCTTATCAATCTTCTTCTACAACTTAGCTAGATAGAATCACCGTCAGATGTGGCGCCCCAGTCCAACTCACCCGCATCTCAGGAAACTGCGACTGATAGGTGTTAAGCGGCAGCAGCACCTGATCGGCCAACTTGTGGCTGAAGTCCTGCCACAACACGTCCACTGACTGGGTCAGGATGTAGAGCTGGTCGTGGCCAGTCCATTGGCTCTCGTAAACCTCCCCGATCGCCTCAAGCAGCGTCTTTGAGGCCGCTTGCGTCGCTGCAAAACAACAGGCGATTAACATGGGGCTACAATGGGGCCCGAAGGGCCTCACCTCGAATGCAGCGGATGTAGTTGCTGAACTCCTTCTGCAGCCGGTTGGCTGCGTTCTGCTGCTTGGTGAAGTTCTGTAAGTGCTCGTCGAATATTTCATCCGCCGTTCGGTCGACTTTGCCCAGATTTTGCAAAATCTGTAGGTTTAAAATGAAAAAACACTTTTTGCTTAAAATTGAGGAAAAAATCTGAGGAACTGCTAGAAACTTGTTTGTGTGTAACTACTTGTTGATTGGGGGGTTTTGTCGCACTCTCCCGAAATCACCCGAGGTTATCCGGGGCGGTTGTCAAAAGGATTAAATTAGAGTGACAGTGACATTGCTTGATAGTTCAGAGTGAAGTGATTCTGAGCCTTGAGTCGGTGGCTCTGAGGCCTTGTACAGCAGCGAGGTGTCGATCTGGTGCGGCGGTCGGGCGTACGACAGACACTCAGCGCATTTGACGACAAAAATAACTTCAACCTTCGCAAACGGTGCTAAATATATCGGGCAACATAAACGGCGCTTTTGATCCGGGCCGTAGATCAAAATTTTATGAATTTAATGGAGGATTTTCAAAATAAATAGCATGGGCCTGGCCTCGATTAAGCGCCGCATTGGATCAACAACACGACGACTTTCGCTGGAAAACCTTAGTAGGGCCGAGTCGATCGGGAAAGTGTGCCATTACAATGCGATTAGGAAACAATGTTCAAAGGTGATACCGGAGGCTGGTGACTGGCGCGCTAATGATAACAGCAATTGTTTGATGAGAAATTTTTTTACGGCCCGCAAATGACCGGAATATTTCGTAATTGGATCTGACGACGGCAATGGATCAGGGTTAAATGCCCTTGAGGCGTGTGCTTCCAAAGCAACGCTCCCCAAGCCCTTTGAAGGGCCGCGATGGTGTCTTGCAGGTGGGGCCACCTGGCAACGCTGTCGCCCACCTATAAATATACCCATATGACCAGAAACGCGACGGAAAACTGGGCGATTTTCCGACGCACGTCACTGACCTTTTCTTTCGCCCTTCCGGCATGCTTTTGCACCGACTTGGCCAATAGGGAGCCTCTGCTTTCCGCCATTCTGCCCAACTTGTTCGGGAAAAATCGAGGGCACTTTTCACACTGGCGACTCGTGCGGAGGTGGACGCGGCAACACTGTATGTGGCGCGACCCGTACTTACGACCGTTTCACCGACCACTGAAATCGATCGCTGGTTGGCCGGCAGTTCTGCGAACCGTCTAACGGTAAACTAGGCTAGGCGGTGCGACGCTGCCAGTTCCGCCACTATTGCCCAGCTGGCAGGATGCCGGCGAAAAAAACCACCCGCTAAGGTTCCTAGTGGATGTATTTTAGTAAAATCTATAGGGTCTTCAATATGAAAAATAGCTTACTGGCTACAGTAGTAGAAGTATATATAATAATAATACCTAGTAACAAAACGCAACAGTGAATACAATAGACTGAGGACCGCGCGAACGCGGAGTCAACCAATGAATGGCCATGAAAAACACTCCAGTGTGAATATATATATTTGTCATTAAATTCCTTAAGAAATATGTTTTGTAACGCTAAAAATTAATAAAACCAGGACAAAAAGGGGAGGGTGCGAGGCGAGCAGCGGCTTGCCACCCGCCTCGCGCACTGCACTGGACAAGGTCCGGTCGCGGACAATTCTTTAAGGACAATGTGTGTCCGGAGTGTTGATCAACCACAGCCAGGCGGGACGTCCCGTCCTTGTCCCGATATTGTTGTCACCTCCACTGGTCTTAGTTGTCGTCGCCCTCCTCGCGTTTCCTCTTCTTGCCTTTGGCTGAAAAAAAATTAAGCCCCATTAGAAACACTCAACTTTAGCCCGATTTTGACTTACCGCTGGATGGCGTGGCGTCTTGCGAGCTGTCCAGAACGTCATCGTCCTCCTCCTCCTCGACGTCGTCCTCTTCCTCGTCCTCACCAGCCTCGTAGTCGCCCTCATCGGACAGTTCGTCTAGGTTTTCAGAATAGACGACACCCAAGTCAACGCTGTCGTCCATTTCGTCGTCCTAAACCACACAAACAATATACAAAATCCTTAATCGCAAGTGGCCAAGTTGACAATCACCTCATCTGAGCTCTCCTCCTCGTTAGACTCTTCCTCACCGTTGCCGTTCACCTCCTCCTCCTCGGCCTCCACTTCGCTCTCTTCCACCTCACAGTCCTCCGGATCGAAGCTGAGGGAAAAATAACGAAAATTAATCATTCATGGAGCGTTTGCTCGAAGACCTACCCATCCAGATACTTCAGGTTAGGAAGCATGCTGAAAATCTTCTCGCGGTAGTTGTGGATGCTGGTGGCCTCATTATTGAAGAGATCCAAGTGCCGCAAGTGCTTGAACGACTTAAGCGATTCCAGCGACTCTACATCCTTGATCTTGTTGCCGCTCAGATTGAGGTACGCCAACTTGGGGCTGGTCTCCAGGATGTCGAATCCGCCGCTTATCCTGCCCAAAAACAGAGATTCGTCAGTCACTAACAGGGGGCGATTCGGGTTTAGTTACCTGTTGTCGCTGAGCTCCAGCTTCTTCAGGTTAGGTAGTTTGGGGAAGCCCTTCAGCGAGGTGAGCCCTACATTGATCAGAGACAGTGTCTCCAGATTCTCAAATTCGTCAGTCAGTCCCACGATGTTGGTGCTTCGGCAATTGTCCAGATTCAGCTCCTTGATCTGGAAATGAACAGGCCCCCATTAGTTGTAGTACCTTATTGACCCCGAACGTGGCCATGGCAACAACAAAGCCGAAGCCTCAAACAGGTAATCCAAAACCTCGCTGGGCCGTCCCGCCTGAACCATGCCCCAATCAATGGACCCATGGGCAATGGGGCCGTCCAGGGACATTCAAAACAAAATGCGTTGGTGCCGCCGACTGTAAATAACGCCACTAACGTGGCCGACTACTTACGTCCGCGGGGTTCTTGCCGCGCTTCTCCAACTCCACACGTTTCTCCATGTTAGCACCGTCCTCAGGACACCTTCGAACACATAAAACGCACAAAAACTGCAGGAAAATCGCCACACACAATCGGTTTGTACGATGTGGACCGCCAAGTTTACGGTTTCAGGGTGGGCATGCGTCCACCAGCGCCGTTCGCTTTGCACGCTTTCCTCGCCGTGTTACTCCGGACCTGGTGCGAACACGTGACACTCCCATTGGTGTAATTAGTGCAGCTCACGTGACTAACTTCAGCAAACCTGCTTGACAGGTCAAACGAATCAAGCGGACTACCAGCGAATACGTCACGTGCACGGTTGCCGCTCGAAGGGTGCACCGGTGAAAGCCCACCAAGAGCTTCTTTTATTACGACTGACCAAGTCGGATACTGGAAAGGCGTAAGTGAGAGGGAGATGGCTGATACCGGCCAATGGCTAGAAAAGAGATGTTAAAATAACTTTCATAATTATTGATATTAATTAGTGCAAATTGACCAGCGGGAGCAGCGCCATACGTCGACAACAATGTTAATTGGTGAACTTGCAGTTTATCAAAGGAATCCAAAATTTGTCGGTTTTCGTTGTTTTACGTTAAATAACACCTCATATATAATACCTCATCGAATGGGACAAAAATTGGATGGTCATGGATAAATTAAGCTAACAAACAGTCGCAAGTTTAAGTGAATTAATATATAGTTTTTTAATTAATTAAGAATGCTTACAAATACTTCCCGAAAAAGCGGCCTCTGTATCCCCAGACAGTGAGTGGGGTGAAGTAAAATTTCCAAACTGTCACTACTGTCATTTCTCATACTGTCAACTTCCAATGAAAACATCTTGGCAGTGTTTCTTGCACCGAATTTCACCAATATTCCCAGTTTCTTCCCGATTTAAATAGACCTGCCGTGTGCGTTCGCCCTGCTGAAGGTCCGAGTTTAGTTCTTCAGGTTTCCTAGACCCAAACAGTAGGCAGGGCTCATTCATAGCCTTATGCAACTCTAGGTAAGTGGAAGGACTGTATCCATTAAAATGTTCTCTGAAGGTTATTTTTTTTGCTCATTCGTTTATTTCCATTGCCTTGAGTCGCCCTGGCCCACGAGTGACGTCCCTGCAAAAAGCGCCCAATCAATTTCCGCCTCTTGTGGACGCGCTATTAACCGTTTCACTAGTGTGGGTCTACGGTTGGGCTCAAGGGCACTGATAGAAAGCGGCCAAGGGATGTGTGTTTAACCTCTACTGATTGTGATATTTTGCAGAATTTTGACAGCGCCTTTGACCTTCCAACTGTGTGCCGGGCAGCCCGCCCGGAGCCCCGTCCCATCCTGCACCCCACAAGTACAATGGCGGTGAGTCGAGTTCCGAGTCCGCCGCCACAAGAGGTAAACACGCCTGTAGCTGAGAATTGGTGCTACACACAGGTACGAATAAACTTCAGCTTTGTGTCTTCCGGTGCTAATCTCAGCTATCGGCAGGTGAAAGTGGTGAAGTTCAGCTACATGTGGACCATCAACAATTTTAGCTTCTGTCGGGAAGAGATGGGCGAAGTACTGAAATCGTCCACCTTCTCGGCGGGTGCTAATGATAAATTGAAATGGTACGTAGAAGGCTGCGGTTTAATTGGTGACAGGAAATGTCAAGGGGTTTTTGTTAATCTGTCAGGTGCTTGCGCGTGAACCCTAAAGGGCTGGACGAGGAAAGCAAGGACTACTTGTCCCTCTACCTGCTTTTGGTGTCCTGCAACAAAAGCGAGGTGCGTGCCAAGTTCAAATTTAGCATCCTGAACGCGAAACGGGAAGAGACCAAGGCGATGGAGAGTCAGCGGGCTTATCGCTTCGTGCAAGGCAAAGACTGGGGTTTCAAGAAATTCATCAGGCGCGATTTTCTGTTGGATGAAGCGAACGGCCTTCTGCCGGACGACAAGCTGACTATTTTCTGCGAGGTAAGTACTACTCAGGTCGCCTGCAGTAGTCGTTCTAACCGCCCTGTGGGGTTTCATCAGGTAAGTGTTGTGGCGGACAGTGTTAACATATCTGGACAGTCAAACACCATCCAGTTCAAAGTACCCGAGTGCCGTTTGTCGGATGACTTGGGGCTGTTGTTCGAAAACCAGAAATTCAGTGACGTGACGCTCTCCGTCGGCGGACGAGAATTCCAGGCACATAAGGCCATCCTGGCAGGTAAAATGGGTGTGATTTTGTTGAAGACTGGCAACAATGTTTTTTCTGGGGCTTTTCTCAGCGCGCAGTCCGGTGTTCCAAGCAATGTTCGAGCACGAGATGGAAGAGCGCAAACATAATCGCGTGGACATCACTGATGTGGACCACGAAGTGCTGCGAGAAATGCTGCGCTTCATCTACACCGGCAAAGCACTGAATCTAGAAAAAATGGCGGATGACCTGTTAGCGGCCGCCGACAAAGTCAGTTCCATCCCACTCGGTCTGTTAGCGTTGTGCTGATCAGTTTGCTTGTTTCAGTACGCGTTGGAGCGGCTGAAAGTGATGTGCGAAGAGGCCCTTTGCACAAACCTCTCTATTGAGAACGCGGCCGAGATCCTGATACTGGCCGACCTCCATAGCGCCGACCAGCTCAAGGCGCAAGCCATCGACTTCATTAACACGTTAGCGCTACTCCTTTTAACTTTCTGCGGCTTGGACTCACCGGTTGCTTGTTGCAGGCACGCCACTGATGTCATGGACACACCCGGCTGGAAATCAATGATCCAGACGCATCCCCATCTGATAGCCGAAGCGTTTCGAGCGCTAGCGACGCAACAAGTGCCGCCGATCGGACCGCCCCGAAAGCGGGCAAAGCAGAGCTGAAACAGCATGCAGCCGCACCAGTAAAGAGACTGTCAAACATGTGTTCAAAAAGGGCGGCGCAAAAGCGCCCCCAATTGGCTGGCAGGGGCTATAGTTGCGTGCGTGCTGCCACCAACCAGACTACCTCATTTGATTTCGGTTTCATACGGCGATTTGTTTCAGTTGCGTCTTCATCGGCTTTATGTGTTTCCGTTGTATGTGCGCGCGCGGTATGGCATCAAATGTGTATACTTATCTGGACCCAGTGGCCGACCTTTAGGGTTTTTGCTAGTTTATTTTAGTTCTCCCAGCCAGAAAGAACTTATTTTTTTGACGGGCTCTCAGTGTTCCAAGTGGGGTGGCCTTTACTATTGTCGAAATCTGCCCAGTTTTCAGCGTATTTCGTTTTCTTAATAAAGTTCAGTTCTGTTTAGCACAGTTGCCAAACGCATCCAGTAGCCTCAAATTTCTCTTCGCCCTTGCCAAAAGCGCTAGACAATCCAACCAGGGTTGTGGGCAGAAGAATGCATTTCAGCTACTGATCGTCACCAGCCTCTTCAATTGGATCATCTACGTCCCACCGGCTTATCGGGGGCTCACGGTAATTGCATTACAGCCTTATCACGACTTAACGTTTCGGCATAAACATGTTTGTATTTACTATGGGATAAGATCGAGAGGATTAGGGTATTTGCGGGTATAGGCCGTCCCCGTTGGCGCACATTTGTGCGCCAATTGTAGCGCCACGCCTTCGTAAACAGTTGCTATTCCGGTCGATTAACTCTGTCTAATCCCTCATTATCCGGACGATCAATAGCGGAAATCGGATTATTGATGAGTGATTAGCTATAATTGAGGCGCAGCTTCTGGTCCAAATCCAGTGTTCTGAGCGACAATGGCCAATAACTGCATTTTGATAGCTGCAGCACTGCTGCTGCTGTGTGTCGCTGAGCGGGCCGGAGCCGGCGTCCTAAAGCCCGGCGATTATGCAGCTGATCAGCTGCTTGCTTACCAGGTAAGCTACTCAATGTACATGGCTATTGGTCGCTACTATGCCAGTTTGCAGCCGTCGCAGCGCCAGCACATTGCCCGGGAGGATTTGGACGCCGAGTTTGAAGTCAAGTGCTGCGCCAAGTGCATTTACATACCTGGGTATGGGTGCTACGACCCCACCGACCCGTCCGAGTATCCGCCGGTGTATCCAGACCGGATATAGGCCCTATTACGTTTAGTACCTGGTCAGCCTCTTTTGTGGTGTCTTTAACATTAAACAATTATCTCGTTAGTCGTTGCGTATATTTTTGATTTATTTCCGTAAGAAAAAGACCCGTAAGGGGCTAGTTTTATATCTTGGGGTGCAGTCAAAGGCACTACATCCATAGATCATAGATAAAGACGAGAGAAACTAATACTTTTTGAGGTTAGTGAACAAATTTCAAAAGGTCATTGTTGCCAGCAGCTGTCCGCAGTCTATCATCCCAAACTGGAGCTGCTACGCAACTTGTCCTAGCCACTCTGAGACCTTCAAGCTTTTAACTAGAGCCCTAAAGGATCCCCCAGCCAGACTTTACCTAACTGATTAAGTTTGATTAGTTAGGAGTTTAGCCCTTAGTGGCAACCGAGCAAACAAACCACTTACCACATAAGAAGAACCGTTGGCCTAACCATAGATAAAGACTGAAGAGCCTGCTCTGACGTGTCTGTCACCATATTTCCCGAAAATACTTACTTGTTTTCCTCGCGTTTTGCTAACTGAAAATGGACGTGGCCACATTATTTGACGACGTGAAGCGGATGAACAAGCGCCAGTTCTTCTACCAGGTGTTGAGCTTCGGTATGATCGTGTCCTCAGCCCTGATGATCTGGAAGGGGCTGATGGTAGTGACGGGCAGCGAGAGCCCCATTGTGGTAGTGCTATCAGGTAGGCCTTTATTGCCGCCTTTTATCCAGCTTGCCGACAGTGAGTTTCAGGTAGCATGGAGCCGGCTTTTCATCGAGGCGACCTGCTCTTCCTCACCAACTACCCGGAAGAGCCAGTCCGGGTAGGCGAGATCGTGGTGTTTAAAGTGGAGGGACGCGACATTCCCATTGTCCACCGAGTGCTCAAGCTGCATGAAAAGTTAGTAGCCCCCCTTTTGAGGCAGCCATGCCTAAGTTATAATTTTTTACAGGAACAACAGCACTGTGAAGTTTCTGACCAAAGGGGACAACAACAGCGTGGACGACAGGGGCCTGTACGCTCCTGGTCAGCTCTGGCTCACGAAGAAGGACTTGGTGGGTCGCGCCCGCGGCTTTCTGCCCTACGTTGGTATGGTCACCATCCTCATGAACGAGTACCCCAAGTTCAAGGTAGCCAATTAGCCCCAAAGTGCTTTATTTGGTTAACAGTCGTCCCTGTTTTAGTGCGCAGTGCTGGCCTGTTTGGGGCTCTACGTGCTGATGCACAGAGAGTGATGGAACTGTACCCACTGTTCAGCTTGGTGAATGGGGGTCCCGATGCCCAGTTTGTATATATTGAAGCACGATGTTTTTTTTACATTTGTATGGATTAGCAAGCAAAAACACCTGGAGAATAGTTTTGACTAATAAATTCATGGTTCTTTTTGTATTTTGCCATTAAATAACGGGCCCTTTTTGCTATGTTGTCAACTGTGTCATTGCGTTGCCGCTGTTAAATCAAACAAAGCAACTATCCTTAAGCTGTCTCTTTTTACATATCGAAAAAAGAGAGAGAACAATATAATGTTGGTGCATTTGCATGAGTGACGCCGAAGAGTTGGGTTAGAAAGTGCCGGGTTTCTAGTGTTTGTTGGGGTCATTGGGGTTCCATTTCCAGGCAGATACTTGTCTTTATCCATGGGCAAATCAGTGATGGCCCTGAAAGTGTTGCGAGGCCTCGTGGGGTTAAATTTGAAGTTGAGTAGCCGCAACTTGCGCCTAAGCGCCGCTCACAGACACGGCGAGTACGAGTGGCAGGACCCCAAATCGGAGGCCGAAGTGTAAGTGTTAAAGTGGGGCAGGTTGAAGCAGGTTTTAATTTGCGGTTTGCAGGGTTAACGTTACGTTCATCGACAAAGACGGCCAGAAAGTTCCCGTCAGGGGCAAGATTGGCGACAACTTGCTCTACTTAGCCCACAGGCATCAGATTCCCATGGAAGGGGCTTGTGAGGCTTCACTAGGTGAGTCTTCTGGCATATGGTTTATTGAAGAAGTCCTCAAACGTTCAGTTTCAGCTTGCACAACCTGCCATGTCTACGTACACCACGACTTCACAGACAAGCTGCCCGAAGCGATGGACGAGGAAGAAGACCTGCTGGACATGGCGCCTTTCTTGAAGGAAAACTCCCGGCTGGGCTGCCAGATTGTCCTCACCAAAGACCTTGAGGGACTGGAAGTGGAGCTGCCAAAGGCCACCCGGAACTTTTACGTGGACGGCCACACGCCGAAGCCGCACTAAAGGTACGTCCAGTGCATTCTAGTTTTGTTTAATTTTATTTTTTGGAAAATATATAACGTGAATCGATATGGTCGCTATTCCTAAGCAACAGCAGCTAATTAGGTGCTAAACGACTATGTCATAATACTCTAGGACTGGGGTGGGGGCACACTTATTTGGGATTAATAGTAGGTCTCCAGCCGATACCAGCCATGGGGGCTGCTCCGCAGCCGCCACTTTCTAAACTCGTCGAACAGGAAGATGAACAGAGCGAACGGAAGCGAGTAGCACCACCTGGAAGCAATAATGAAGATTTATTTCGGATTGATTAACGACATTACTGGGTTACCATCTGAAGAGCACCGGGTAGAACTTAAGGTAGTACATGTTGGGCAGGTAGGACAGCATGCAGGCCACCACCGTCTCAGCCAGCAGGCTCACGTTCAGTATCATATTGCCCATGCCTTGCTTGAAGATGGAGTTAATGCGCGTTTTGCATACTACCAAGTCGAACCACTGCGAAACCACCACAGAGATCATGAAGGCTGTATAGCAGGTGTATTCCAGCTCCTTTCTGTGCTCGTAGGTCCACTCTTGGCCGTAGGAGTCGGTCAGATCGTTGATGAAAGGCGAATCCCATTGGGAACGTAGCCCTAAATCACGTGGATAGACAGGATAATGACCTTGACGCGGAAGACTTACCAAAGAGTTTCATAGGCATGAAGCCGTGCTCGGCCATGATGGCAAAGTAGACGAAGAAGCCCCCCATCGCCTCCAACATGCCAATGTGACCGTAGGCCAAAAAGTAGAGCTTGCGAGTGACCAGCTTGTCTTTGCGCGGGTTCCTTGGAGGGCGCAGCATTATGTCGCTTTCCGCCTTCTCATAAGCCAGACTGATGGCCGGCAGCATGTCGGTTAGCAGGTCGATGCACAGAATGGCCATGACGCCTGTAAAACGCCACAACTGACACCCCATTGATTAGCATTGACCTAGGAGGACTCACCTAGAGGCAGTGGAATGTTGAGGAGCACAAAGGCCAGGAAGGGCAGAATTTCGGGCACGTTGGAAGCCAAGGTGTACGCGATGGACTTCTTCAGATTGTCGAAAATGCGCCTGCCCTCCTCCACTCCGGTGATAATTGAGGCAAAGTTGTCATCCAGCAGAATCATGTCGGCGGATTGTTGAGATACCTCGGACCCCGATATTCCCATAGCGATTCCAATGTCCGCCTTTTTCAAAGCCGGGGCGTCGTTGACGCCGTCCCCAGTAACGGCCACTGGAAGCAAACGAACCAATCAAGTTGAGCTGAGGCGGCTGGGCAGCTTTTCCTACCAATCTCCCCTAGTCTCTGGCAGCCTTCCACTATGTGCAGCTTCTGAGTGGGCGACGTCCTTGCGAACACAATCTCCCGGAAATTGTACAGGATTCGATCCAGCTCGTCGTTGTTCATGTCCCTCAGCGCCGACCCGTGGATCACTATGCCCTTGTTTCGCATACTGGGTGGCAGCGTCTCGATGATGTTGATGTTGAAGGCGTCGATCACCTCGTCGCACGAAATAATGCCCACTTCTCTTGCTATAGCTTTGGCCGTAATCTGAAAAAATCAGCTTGAATGTCAATGAATTTCGGAATTAGCTGAACACTAACTGGATGATCCCCGGTCACCATCACGACTCGAATACCGGCGCTTCTGCAGCGCTCCACTGCATCAGGGACCTGCAATTGGCAGAGCATTGAAAACCCGCAATGAAGGATCCAATGGAGGCCGTACCTGGGGCCTGGGGGGATCGATGAGGCTCATGAAACCAACGAAGCGCAGATCTTTGCGCGGAAAATTGGCCGGCTCGGCATTGAAATGGAAGTCCTTCGTGTAGCAAGCGTCCAATTGAAGATCCGCAAAGCCAAGCACGCGCTCGCCCTTCTCGGCCAGCTCGGTGCAGGCACGGTCGCAGATCTCTCGCATCTCGTCCGTCATGGGCTTGGTGCCCGATTCCGTGCAAATCGTCGAACACCTAAATGCCGAACAGTCGAATACGGTTCCATTGCTGCTAGGCTTGCGCCCCCTTTACCTGGCCAGGATTCGCTCTGGGGCCCCCTTCATTGCCAGCAAGCAGTAGCCCTCCTCCATTGCGTGGATGCTTATCTGAAACGACCATTTATATTTATTTACATTTTATATACGGTTGTTTGTTGCATGTTGTGCAAAAAACATACCTGGTACTTGGTGGTGGAACTGAAGGGAATCTCGAGGAGTTTGGGGTTGTTGTGGCGAAACGCCATGGGGCTGCCGTGCGCCTGACTGAGCTCGGCAAACTTGAGAATGGCCTCTTCGGAGGCGTCGCCCCGTACGCGTCTCTGCTGCACCGGCAACTGTTCCTCGCCCTGTAGAAACTCGGCGCGATTGCAGAGGTTCGCGCACCTCATCAGCGTCTTGAAACCGTCCACTTGGTTGTAGGCACGTGCGTCGTTCTGTTCGGGCGTACTGTCGGCGCAGGTGACCCGATTGTTGCACCAAAAGTGGCAAACGGTCATCTTGTTCTGCGTCAGAGTACCCGTCTTGTCCGAGCAGATGATCGAGGTAGAGCCCAACGTTTCGACCGCCTCCAGGTTCTTCACCAGGCAGTTCTTCGCCGCCATCCGCTTGGCGGTCACCGACAGGCACACCGTCACCGTGGCCAACAGCCCTGCAAACCAGCAATAAAACTTCTCCAACGGATGTATTACCTTGTTATTTATTACCCTCTGGTACGTTCGCAACAATGATGCCGATGAGGAACAGGGAGGCCTCAATCCAGGAGTAGTTCATGGCGAGGGCGGCGCATCCGAATACAACGCCCAGGAAACAAGCCCAGACGGAGATGATCTTCATGAAGTGCTCGAGCTCGCGCGCTATGGGCGTTTTGTTGGGCTGGAGGCGGGCCGTCAGCCCGGCAATGCGACCAATCACCGTCTGGTCGCCGGTGGCAACTACGATGCCTTTCGCCGTGCCCTCCACCGCATTGGTGGAAAAGAAGGCAAAATTCTTCGTCTCCAACAGGTTATCGCTGGTGCAGTCGATGCCACGGGGCTGTGCCTCCGACTCGCCTGTCAGCGCCGAATTGTCCACCTTGAATCCTTGCGACTGAATGATGCGAATATCGGCCGGAATGCGGTCGCCAAACTTCATGTCCACCAGATCGCCCACTACCAAGTCTTTGGAGACGATGGTGACGGTTTCGCCGCCCCGAATCACCGTGGCCTTGGGCGGTACCATGTTGGCGAACGACTCCATGATCTGGACAAAAAAGCGGGTACTTCAGCAGAGTGCTACGGCCCCCGAGATGGCGTCGCTCACCTTTTGGCTCTTGTGCTCCTGCGAGAACATAAAACATCCAGTAACTACCACCACCACCACCAGGACAATGCCCAAGATCAGGTTGTCCGTGTCCAGCTCATCTTGGGACAGTTTGCGGATCAGGCAGGCGGCGAAACATAGCCCCGCCCCTATCCAGAGCAATAGCGAGAAACCTGCATTGGAAACATTGGAAGGTTACACGCACGTTTGCCAGAGGAAATGCAAAATTTCCGCAAGTGCTGCGTGGGCTGCGGCCACTTGAAGCGCCCATAAAAATCGCGTTTGCCATGATTCAAACTTTTGGCCGCCGTCCAACGCAATTAACATACACACAGCCGATTCAGCGTGTGTTTTTATGTGGTAATTTAAAAGAAAACATTTTAGTTCGAGGTTAGTAATGGGGGTTTCTTTGCCTAACGGCCGATGAAAACCGTTGGCAGGTGTTAGTATGCACTGTTGCCAGCTTTGCAGTTACCATGCGTTAGGGTGCGGATGAACTTGATGTACTCGGGCGTTTTGTGCGATGGCGTCAGCACGTTTGGGCCTGTTTTGGTCAGAACTGCTGCGGCCTGTTCCACCGTCAGGCCTTTGTCTCGGTCCGTGTTCAAGCGCCGGCATATTTCGCCTGAAAATCAGTTCCTTTTTAAGCAGCTTCTAATTCATAATAACATTTTAATGTAGTCTACACGATCTTACTTGGACCAGCATAAACATGAAATCTAAGTACAGATGGGTGTGCGAAAAATGTTTTTTTATTCGAATGAATCTAAAAGTGCCATTTTACGATCTGTAGAGATGTAGAGATGATCATAAAGAAGCACTTCTTTACTGTTCTGTTTTTACTTTTACGCACGGACGCAAAGTAAATGTGACAAATTGTATTATAAGTGTAAGTGTTTTCATTAAAAAGTAACCGACAGGCTTTTTTACTTAATTACTTACAATTTCTAAATTATAACTTTGTTACAAGTTCAGTCTCAAAGTCGTTCAAATGGTCTATTTTTCTGCGCTAGTCGATGGTGCCACAAGCAAAACACTATTTTTTTAAATAGCGCAAATTTCATGCAAAATATGCATCTGATACAAACACCATACCGTGAAAGCAGCACTTGAATTTTCACCACTCATTGTTTCACTTATAAATGCTTACAAAAGTACGCTTTTGGAAAATTACAAACGTCAAAACATGACAATTTCAAAAATGGCATCGGCATCAAATTTTAAATATGAAATTGACAGCTGTTATTTTTTGCTATTTTTATTTATTACTACTTATTACTATCCCATGGTATGTCCTTTATTCGAATAAAAAACATTCTTCGATTCGAGGGCGAAAATCCGTTTTTCGAACTCCTGGCGGATTTTCTTCAAACGCCGTCGTCGTTCGAGAAACGACACTTTTCGCCCTTGTATCGAAAACTACTATAACTCCAGCTAAAGATATTTAGTTTTGTTTATTTATTTATGATTATTATTTTTTTAATTACGTATGTCCATCGTATGGCGGCAAAAAAAATAGAAATTGGAGTGCAGCGATCAAAATATCGCTTGGATTTTAAGAACACTGAATGATCATACCAGAATTTTTACGCTTGACCACGTAACTTCGTAAAGACTATACCTCCAATGGCGTGGTCTAATTGTGCAGGAAATTAATGTGTGTGAACGCACCATGGAAAATCAGACAAATAGGTTACCATGGTAACGAACGATAAAAACGGCGGTAAAGACGCAAATTTTCGCAAAACGTGTTGAGCTGCATTTGAAATAGCCCATGTGGCGAAAAAACGTGGGTAAGTTTGCTTGTGAGGCGATATTTCGGTTTAGACCCTCTGGACTACAAAAAAATCGTACAATTGTAACCATTTTACGCCAAATTCAGTTGCTGGCAACACCGGAGAAGTGAAGCTTTCTGACGAAGTTTTGTATGTTTTTTTAGGAAAATGGTCATGGATAGGGGCCCATCGGGAGGCAAGCGGGGCATTACAACGGCTGGCTACTGGGCCTCCGAGAGGTCATATTGGTGGTTTGCAGGCAAAACACTTTGGCCTTGACAGCGCCTGTCAGTCTCAAATTGAAAATGGTAAGTTTCCAATTGTAGGAGCAAAAACTGGCTAAATGGGCCCCCTTCTGAGCAGGAGTGCGCGAGCCGCACCACACTGGCTCCCCGTTATCCTAAAAGGCCGCCCACACGTTCGAAGGCTATTTTAAATATGTAGCCAGGCGGTCGCGCTGCTTTACTAGTTTTCTGATTTACTTCGATGAGGTTTCGGGGTCTAATTTAGGTGGAATCGCGTGTGGGCCATTAATCCCACTTCGATCTGGCACCCCCTAGATCTATATGACTGTTAAATCAACAAACAGATGCGCATCTGATAGATGTGTGGTTTCATCATTGATTCGCCATAATCTGGAAAGCGCCTATTTACTTATGGGGGGCGCAGTTAGGCAATTGCGTCAGAATAGGTGACGTTAATATGCGGGCGTCATCACTTACCCAAAGGCACCGTGTGATCGTCAGTGATCACTTCTTTGCGGAAGTTCTCCAGGCGAGCCAAGGAAATCTCCTTGCGACTCATCGACTTCCTGCGCTCGACCTTCTTCTTGAAAAGCGGCATTTTGGCCGATCTAGGCTAAGCTGGATATCACTGTTGCTGACCAAACCACACCTTCTTACGTAGCCGATACAGTGTCCAAAGGGGAGCGATCATAAAGCGAACAAACCACCGCACATGATGATGAACTGAACGTGAAAGAACGTGCTAATCGATGTTAAAAGCCAGAGAAAACCGAGTGCTAAGAGCGATCGCGTGGCCTAATTTTCACGTCCACCATAATAAGCGAGTCCTTCGGGACTGAGAGAGAGGACTACGTCTATAAATACCATAAGTTCACACCGACTAGAACTGGAAAATTCGGAATAACTTGGAAAATCGGGGAAAATGCGCGATCGGCCCGATGCGGCGCGCGCTGTCAATGTATTCCCGCTCTTTGCAACGGTTTTCCCCGTTATGTGGCCTCACCACACCTGTTCATTGCATTCCGCAACTTCTGATCCACCCTGTATATGCGGCATCCCTCGGGTAGATATATAATGACGCAAAAGTAAACCGATCGAAGATTCTCCAGCGGTAATTTCCGGTTCGAGCAGGAAAATTCATATGGGCGCGTGTTTGAGTCGTCGATGGTCTTTGCTGGGGGGCCCCCCAGCCGTCCGATACCTTTTTAGCACCGGCTGGCGCCCGTGTGGGCCCGACAGAGACGCGTCCATGGTGGCAGGCATGCTGGGAAGTGAGAGGACGCGTGACAATGGCCCATGGGTGTCCTATTAAAAGGCCTTTGTATGGGGTCCGCGGTTTGATCGCCACCAGTGGCGGCCCGATTTTCCCATTTGAGCCTGCGACCTTCTTTGTTTATTAAGATGTCACCAGTTTAGTGACACCTGCTGTCATTTCCTCCACTACGCATGGCGATTACTTGCGGGGATTTGACAGTGCTAGTAAACCAAGTAGTTGCCAATGTCAGTTTAGTGGATAGTTAAGTTTGCCTGTGGGCACGGCACTGGGCATGGGTTTGAACATGTGCTTTTTTATCCATTCCGAATAAAAAAGGCGACACCCGCTGTCAGTGGTCGGACCCATGCAGGGGACAAACTAATAACAGCCTCAGTTCAGTCATGGAATCAGTAGTTTTTTCGATTCGCGACCAAATGCATCGGAACCGACCAATCGTCGCTCGAGTCATCAGTGCCAATTTCGACTCTAGTCCAGTCTAGTCGCGTCCAAGACCCCTTTGGTAAGTGATGAGATCGAGTGATCGTTGAGCTGAAAGCCAGTCGTTTTTGCGCTTGAAAAATGCTGCCCGCTTTCCCGAGAATGGTCCACACGGACTGATGTGATGTGTGTCTCAGAGCCAGCACAAACAATTCGAACTTTGTTATTACAGTACTTTTATTGATATTGCGCTGGTTAACCGGTTTCGACTGGATCGGCCACGGCTTTTGCGTGCCTCTTGAGTGCCAAGATAAAACGCCAATTCGAATGATAACCCATTTTCCCAAGAGGATCTTTGACGTCAACGGGGTACCCACACTTGTATCTGCCTGGAGGATTATCTAGAAGTCTTCCGCCTCGACTTCAGTCTTTTCAACCAGATGCTATACGTCCCTAAAGATAGATACCGCTAAGTCCCTACGAAAAAGTTAATATAATTGCGGCTTTTGCCAATCTCTCCAATCTCTTGTGAGCGTTTTTTGTTAAGTTTTCCTATACAGGGTGCTTCAAAATGGGCGTCATTCCTCTGGGGGTGTTTAGGAAAAATAGTAGAAAATAATTCTGCTCAAAAACTGAAATGTTTGCAGAAAAGTAGATCAGAAACTATGCAATAATGTTTTTCAAAGTAGGAACTCGGCATCATTAACATTACGTAACTGTCAGATGTAAACACAAATGTCAACGAAATAAGTGTCAAATTACTATTTAACTTGTAGTTATACGTTTAACCACCAGGGGGCTTCTGGTCTCAATTTTTACGGGTCTGGTAGACCAGGGATGTTGTGCAATGCTCCGAGTACTCCTGACAGGCTCTGCAGCAATTATTTCCAATAGATGTTCTTCTAATGTCTGGAAATCGAACATCTATTGGTCGCCCACTTCCTGGAGCCAATCGTCCAGTGTCTCCAGCCTTTTCTGGGCTTAAGTTCTTACAGCTTCTGCCATGTTAGGTACTGGTAGCATGTCTTAGATGGTAGCATGGAGCATGGTAGAAAAAACTTCTAAGCAAAGTTTGCCCCCAGCATGGAACAATTAATTGTTCCTAAATGCGACGAAATCCGGCATGTTCTGCTTAAAATAGCCGCTCGGCTTATGGGAGTGATAAGAGTGGAGGAACTGGTTCGCGCCGGTTTTCCGGGTCAGGCATCAAACTTATCGAACCCCCAAGACAAGGAGAGCATCCGAACTGGCGCGAACTGGATTCGGAAGCGCAACTGCGACTTTGTGTAAATATGTTCACGACTTTGCCCCCCTTGATGCTGCCAGATCAGTACTGAGGGCAGAATTGATGGGTGGGTTTTTCGTGCTCTGGAGGGCCGTTTTCCGACCAGAGGAGCCTCAGCGCTCGTGAGAAAGGCGCTGGGAGGAGCTTGGGCCACCCTACGGGGCGGAGCTTGCCGAAGGACGAATTCCCCGCGCAAGGCGACCGCCCGGCACGGCCCTGTACAATCAAACCAATCCTTATCAGTCACGATTCGATTAAATGGTAAAATGTTTTTTAAGTACATAACCAGTTTTGCTTCAAATATGTGGGATTTAGACGAAGCGGTTTACTTTATCGACTACACTCGACGATTCCGTCTGCCGAACCAGATTTTTCCATTTTATTGCCGTTTCTAATCGGGATGTTTGCACCGTTTAACAGGATGATCGTGGGGCAGCCGCTCCAGTACTACCACCCTCTAGGGAACACGCCGTCACTCTCTTTATTAGAGCCGCCTCTGGCCTACTTCCGGCCCTTCGATCGCCTAACCATGGAACACCAAGAGGACTATCCCATGATCACCTCGCCTAGCAATAGCACTCAGGTAGGCACTTATTTGCGTAAGGAGATGAGTTCCTTTTCCTGCGAGGCAAATCGCTAAAGACTGATATTGATTGGTTTGAATTGCAGAGCGACAGCGACAACTCATTGTCGAGTATTGAGGTGCCGTCTCACTCGATCGCTATTCCGAAAAAGGAGGAGAAAAAACAGTGCTTGTGGACAAATTGTGGTGCTAGTTTTCCGTCGCTGAGCGAGCTGGCCGGGCATGTGAGCCAGTGCCACTCGTCGGGAGGGCCGGATGGACTTTTCCACTGCGGCTGGGAGGGATGCACCCGCACCAAGGGATTTAACGCGCGGTACAAGATGCTGGTGCATGTGCGCACCCACACCAATGAGAAACCGCACCGCTGCTTCCAGTGCGAAAAGTCGTTCTCCAGGGCGGAAAACCTGAAAATTCACTCGCGCTCGCATAGCGGAGAGAAGCCCTACGTGTGCCCAGTGGCGGGGTGTAGCAAAGCCTACTCGAATTCGAGCGACCGCTTCAAGCACACCCGTACCCACTCGGTGGAGAAGCCCTATCAGTGCAAGGTGCCCGGATGCCCCAAACGCTACACGGACCCCAGCAGCCTGCGCAAGCATGTTAAGACCTACAAACATTATCCGAGTGAGGAGCCGGTTGACAGCCCAGTGCATGTCATCAGTGTCAACAACGTCAACACCACAGACAGTGCAATGTTTAGAGTGCAAATTGACATCAAGGAGCAGCGGTTTGGGTTCAGTGAGCGGACGAAGCTCTACAGGCCGTATGAGCTGGACAGTGAGCGCCGCGACGTCGACATGCCGCTCGACTTGAGCACCAGGCGCAGCCTCTGATTGGCCGCCTGTCGCCTGCTGCAGTCAGTATTATTAAGGAGCATGTCAATTGTGATACCAATGGAGAGATTTCTATATATACAATAATTATTTTAGTTTTAGGATTTGTAAATAAATAAGTTTTTAATTGAATAACGTGTATTTTTTTCTCAATTTTTCTTCTTCTTCAAGGTGGGTTTTTCGAAGACTTGTTTAACGCCGCCGGCTTGCGTCGCGTGGAACTTGGTGTTCTGCTGATTGACGTTGGACCAGGGCGACTCGAACTGCGTGGTGTCCTGGTCGACCAAGTGGGTGTACTTGGTGCGGCCCGATCGGCCGAAGTTCTTCACCTGCATCACCTTAGGCAGGATGGTCTTGTCGAAGTGGTCCTCCAGGGTGGCTTGCGCAAAGTCCCTCTTGAAGATTTCCTCCTCTTTGTCCAGGTAGAAAGCGCCGCGATGGTAGTACTTCTGCAAGAACTTGTACTTGCCCTTGGCCGCCTTGTTGGTGACCTGTTTGGGGTTGAGGCGCAGCGCCAAGCGGCGCTCCTCCTCCGTCATGTTGCGCAGCTTGTCGATTTCAATCTTCTCCTTTTCGAGCGCTTCACGCTCCTCACGGTCGCGCTTGATTCGCTTCAGCTCGCGCAGCTTCCAGGCCTCGTATTCGACTTCGTCGTTTTCGTCGTCCGTGCAGACGTCGTTCAGGTCCGGCTCATTGGTCTCCTTGTCCTTTTCCTCCTTCTTGTTGCGTATTAGGTCTTCTACTATGCGCAGCGTCTGTCGCCGTCGGTCCTCCGCCTTGCGCAGCTCCTCTTCTTCTACCCTGCAAGGCTTCGATGTTAGTTGGGAAACAGGGGGGCTGTTTTATCATGCAAACCTTTTCTGCTTGGCGGCCTCCTTTTCCTTCTCCATGATGGTGACGCGGTCCTTTTTGCGCACAAACACCGGTTTCAATCGTGGCCCCGTCTCCTCCTCAGAGTCGGTGTACTCCTCGCTTTCCTCCTCCTCTGACGAGCTGAAGTCCTCCTCTTTCTTCAGCTCGACGCTGGTGATTGTTTTGGTCATTTTGCTTCTGAGGGAGTTTCTGCGCCGCTCGATCTCCCCGTCGCTGAGTTCCTTTCAAGAGAAAAATTATCGAGCTGGCTCAGGTTGGGTCTAGTTATTTTACCTCCTCTGAGGCCTCGTCGTCCGGTCCAGCTTCCAGCGTGTGTTTTTGTTCGGCCAGGGCCATATTCTCAACTTCTTCATCTTCCGACGACTCCAGCACCTCCGCCTCAAAAACATGCCGTCGGCGCTCGGGCCGTACCTCTGTGTCGATCTCGGCATTCCTCAGCCGCTTCAGCCGGGGGTCTGGAATAGTTTTGAGTTAATAGACCAGCAATAGGGCTGGAATGTCGAGTTTGCCTTTAAGTTCGTCGTCGCTGTTATGGGCGGGCTGTGGAGAGGTGTCTTTGGGTAGCTGATGGCGCCTCTCCAAGAAGTCGTCTTCATCACTGTCGCTGTCCGAGCGCACGTCCTGGGCGTAATCGGGCCGCTTTCCCGACACGTACCTGTGCACTTTGACTTTTTGCATCGAAAGCTCCCCCTTTTCATTCCGTACTGGGACTGCGCCCGCTGTACTCTGGATCCCATACACCAGTGGAGGGTTCAGCGCCATGGTCACTAGAATTAGGACCCTTTAATAATCAGTGTTTCAAAACACGGATGTTTTGATCACAGAACATAAGGGGGGTATTTCGAGGTTTTGATTGCCTGATTGACGTTGTACTTGCTAGGTTATGGTCAATTTTTAGGAGAGAAGACACTAAAATCCGATGAACTATAATAAGTACCTGGAACGGACCCTATGCACA